TGACTCCACAAAAAGCTGTGGCAAAACGCTTCAAGAAATGCTTCCCTTTAGAGATCTTAGATGTGTTTCCGCTGAATTCCACAGGGATTTGGCTGGGGAGGGGCCTTGGTGGGTCTGGCTGTGTGATGCCAGCAAGGAGCACGCGGGATTTCCACCCAGCACTTGGGATTATTGACTGGCACCTCAAAGATCTACCTGCTCCAGTCTCATCACACAAGGAGCAACAGCAGCAAACAGATTTTTGAGTCTTTATCAAGCCCAGAGACACCAAATCTGACTGTTGGAGGAGCAGTGACTTTCACAGGAGCTCTGCCTGAGCGTTTGAGAAGAGCAGAAAGTGCTTTCCAGCCTGGAAGGTTGCTCAGCTGGCTCTCGGGGAGAGGAGGCTGATGGTGGTTGCTCTGTCTTTCTTTATGCTCTAAAAACTTTCTGGATGGGGGTTTAAGTTGTTTTACTTGTTTTGCTTTGCTGTTCCAACACTGGATGGGTTTTGCTGTGTTTTTTTTTTTAAAATCAAGGACAGCTGGGTGTCTGCTCCCCCCACCTGCCCACCCCTCCCATCATGTGCAGCCTGAGCACGAATGTGATCCCAGCATGGCCTCAGTGGCTTGGGCACAAATCCCCACTCCTGGAACCACGTCCTGCCAGAGGAACCCCGACCTCACTTTTGCAGCTGTGCATTCCTGAGATGAAAAGGGCAGCTCGGGCCTGGGCTGGTCCTGTGGCAGAAAAATCAGACCTGGGCAATCCAATCTGTGGAAAAGTCTGGCAGCTGCAGGAGCTGGAAGAAGTCTGGCTGCTGGAAAAAGCTGTAGAGAGCTCCATCAGTGTCCCCTCCTGCCACCCTGATTTGGGGAGCTCCCCACTTCTGCCTTCTGAGTGCTTGCCCATGGGTCTCCCTAGAAACGTGCCTGCATGAGGACTCCCTGTTCAGGGATGCAGGAATCACAGAGTGCTGTCCTGGCTCTTTCACAGGGATTATTTCCTTTTTAAAGTCCCTGTCTGCAGCCCAGGCTGATCGTTCTGTTGCAGGGGAAAATAGGCAGCAGCCTGAGACATGGATGAAGTAATGAGTTCATCTCTCTGCAGTCTAGCCAGGTACTCATTTTTTCTCCTCCCAGAACTTAATTAAAATGCATACATCTGTCCTCACATTTTTATGAAGCTCAATGGCAAATAATGGTCACCAACATGAACTTGTTTTCATGGCTGCAAAGGACTGATCCAAGGACAGTGCCCTTCCTTCCCCTGCATTTGATTACTCTGGGATGTGCTATCTCCAACAAGTAGCCAGGAACCTGGGTTTTATGTCTGGGCCAGCACTCCCATGGGCTGGGCTCTGCTGGGGAAAGGAGGAGACCTGTCCACTGGAAAATACATGCATTATTCTGGGATGGCTGCTAAATCCTTACCTGGCTCATGCTCTCCCTGTTCTGTTTTGCTGGCATTGGCATTGAATCCATGGGTTTTATCCTTTCTGGGGTCTGGCCACAGTTTGCTGCCCTCTCAGAGCCCTCTCCTACCTGGACCCCTCCTGGTGTCCCCTGGGTTCACTGGAGAAAAGGAAAATAAAATCCAGGCAAGTTTGATTGAATAATGAGTTTAGTTACTTTACCCAGCCACAAAACTGGGCATATTTACCCAGAGCAGGATGAAACAGGGGCCCTCCTGGTGCAACAAAATCATCTGTCCTACAAAGGAAACCACCAGCTCCATTGTGGGGAGGGTGTAAAGCTGTTGATGGAAACAAGCATTCCATGATCCGATGGCCTTCCACTCCTCTGTGATTTTGGTTACTCCAGGCTATGATCAGCACAGCCAGACCAGTCCTCATCCCAGTCCTGTTGGCTACTGGCCCCAGTAGCTGCTGGTGAGCGTGGCTGCCTGATGGAAGGTTTCACAGGGGGCTGATGCAGTCCCAGAAATTTCTTTGTGCTCCTTTGTAATATCCTCTGGCTTCGGTTGCGTCCTGCAGGGGTGTTGGTTATGAAACGGCTGGTTTTTACTGTGACATTTTAAAAATTCAGCCCTTTTTAATATGGAGCTGGTTTCTGGTGGCATGAATATTGCAGTGCTGTGTTCTGCTCGAAACGATGCTGCTCAGACGTGCCAAAGCTCGGGGACGGCTCTTTAACATTCCCTCATCTAAACCCGACCTGGTCCCACGATATCAAAATCTAACCTAAAATACTAAAGCTGCTCAAATTGCACTTCGTGCATGGGAAATGAGCACGTTTAGAGGTGTTGCCAGGGTGGAGGCACCAGGAGAGAAGGTTGTGCACTGAGGGAGAACGTGCAGGTCCGACACGTCTCCACCGGTGGGTGGTTTGGGTCTCGTCCAGGGAGAGGAGGCTGGAAGGAAGGATGTGGCTCTGCTTGGGTGGCTGCTTTGTGGCCTGACCATCTGCAAGGAGAAGGAATAGGCACCATCCCTCCCATCCACCCCCCAATTTAGTGCTTGCCTGGAAAAGAAGGCAGCTGCAGGTGCTGTCGGTGTCAGAAGTGGCACGTGGATGACAAATGGTTCATCTCCTGGGCTTTCCTTTGAGCCTCAGAAAGCCGTGGCTGGAGTGATGGCAGCAACAGAAGAGGTGGCTTGCAGGACCAGAGGGCTCAGAGGGCTTAGCTTGGCTGCCTTTTCCAGGAGGAGTTAATCAGCTGCAGCACGTGAGGGCTGATGAGCGGGAGCATACGGAGGGGGAAGGCTGGGTAGTTAAAAGAGCAGTGGTGGTGGCACAAAAGTCTTTCTGGCAGTGTGATTTATTAAGCTGTGATGGTGTCTCTCACATTCAGTGGCAGATGCCTCATCCTACATGACATTTAACACAGGCTGAGTGAGGTTTCACCGTAGGAAACCATTCTCTGTCTGCAAGGGGGGCACTGGGCGGGCTGGTTTGTGACTGCCACGCTCGCAGCCGGAAAGGGAATTTTCTAAATCACATTTTTATTAGGTGTCTAATTGACTCATCATCCCTGCCCCCCCCCCTCCCATCATGCACAAACATTTGCTCTGCCCTGAAATGTGAGATGAGCAAGAAATGCTTTCTGAATATAGCAGGGGAAAGAGAGAGAGAGAGGGCTGAGCAGGGTGAGGAAGGAGCAAATTCGTGCCATTTTTTAAAACGAGATTGTAAAAGACTGTAAAAAAAATAAAAAAAAAGCCCATATGAAAAATAACAACAACAACAGAAAGAGGTTGTGGTTTCTCAAGCCAGTTTTCATTTCTGGAAGTTGATGACGCCCTGGATTACTGTTGTTTTTTTAGACATCTTTCAAATTTATTTTTTTTTAAGGATGGTTTGTCTGTAGTGTGGGTATGTGTGGGTAGAGAACTGGGAAATATGCAGAGGGAAAGAAAAAAGCTAAAAATGGGCAGGAACAGGCTGGGTGCATATGCTTTTTTCCCCCCATATATAAAAAACATTAAAGAAGATCTTCAAGGTGTTAAAGATTTGAGGTTTGTGGGGATGGAGCACAGGCAAAGGAAGGTGATCCTGAAGATCACATCTAACCCAGGACAATTCTGTGCTTCATTAAGCACCGTGCCCCCCTTGACTGCAGGAGGGCTGTGTCTCAGTTTGCAAAATAACCATCCAAACTTCTGATTTACGTCCCTTGGAAGCTGCCCTGCTCTGCAGGGAGGAGGAGGGGGGCAGCCAGGCCGTCCCAGGGTGCCACCAGGAAATTGGGTTCTTTCTGCTGTCCAGTTTGGTGTCACATCTCATTTTTGGCATTTTTGCTTGGAAAACAGCCTTGTTCTTTAGAAACATTTCTCTTTTCTTTCTTGATTTTGCATTTCCTCGAGCTGAGCCCCGCTGGTCTCCACAGGACGCTGTTTTGCTGCTTCGCAGGAACTCCAAAAAAAGGGGAGTTGGCTCAGCTGGTCCCTGAGGGGGACAGAGGGAAGGTGGGGAACTGAGGGCCAAGGTCTCCTCCCTTGGATGTGTAACAGCCAGAGCATGTCCTGGCTGTTGTGCTGCCTTCCTGATGGTTGCTCTGGATTTTCACTGCTTGCACTAGAAGAAGGGTCTGGTCTGTGGTTTGAACATCGAGAGGGAAATTAGAGGAAAAAAACAGTGGTTGCATCATTGTCTGAAGGTGAAATAGCACTTCCCACTCTGCCAGGGTGGGTGATGGCTCCTGGGAGCACCCATGGCTCTGTGCTGGCTGGGGTTTGGCTCAGGCACTGCTGCCTGTGCCCTACCAGGGGGTGGCAGCTGGAAAAGATGTTGGGGGTTGTTGCTACCAGGTGGAAAACACCCATTAAATTTTCCCTCCAAGCTCTTCTCCACCCTGAGGGTCCATAGACCTGCCAAAATCACTTTTTTTTTTTTTTTTTTAAATTTTTTACCCCCTGTTACCAAAGCAGAGACTGACATTCCCAGCTTGTGTATCCAAATGGTTCATTCTTTGCCCATTGCTCCTTTCCAATGAAATAAGGTTTTAGGTGAAGAGTTCAGGGTGATTCTCTTCTCTTGTTTTTCTCAGCTGGAAGCTTCCCTTTAAAACATTAATATCCACATTATTTTTTTCACCCAGCAGGTTAATTAACACTTGATTCATCACCTCAAAGGCTAATGGGTATTTATCCAGATCGTGAAGGAAATTAATGCCTGCTATAAATAACTGTGCTTACTGACAACCCATCTTTATTTATGCTCTTTCTTCCTCAGGAAACAAACTCTGCTCAGCTCTGGAGGAGTTAATCCTGACCTATTCCCAGGGTTGGACTGGGCTGGCTCAGTGTTTTCCTACTCGAGCTTTACTTTGTAAACATGGTGCTTTTTTTATGGGGAAAAACGTCAGCTTTTGTGGAGAGAGACCCAGACAGCTCAGCAGAATCACTCCAGCCTGGGTCAGCAAAGGCCAGTGGAGACTGGGGGTGTTTTCGTGGGCTGGGAGGGCTCTGTCTCTCTGTGAAATATTATTTAGTTTTGGCTGTTGGAGAGCCCTTTCCAAGTTCTGATCTGCTTCAAATAAATGGTGTTTGGTGCCTTTGTCTCCAGCTCCCCAGCTATTGTCATCCACGACCTTAATTAGGAACATGCTAGAAATCACGTCTGGTTTGTCACTCACAGGTGCACAATTAAAAAGTCATTTTATTTACTTTTACTGTTAACTCCCATGTTCCTCCTGGGTGCTGCTCTGCTTCTGGGAAGCTGGATTGGCACAGGGGTGGTATGGGGGGGTGAAGTGGGTGCTGGAGGGCACCCAAAGCATGACCTGATGTGATGTGGTGCCTTGTTTTAAAAATCAGTGCTGCTCTAGAGGATGAACTTACTTACTTTTTTTTTTTCTTTTTTTTTTTTTCAGGGACATCACTGGCTCATCAATTTTTAATTCCTGAGCTTGGCAGCACTGGCTGAATTAGAAACAGAACAACTGATTTTAATGAGCGTAAGATTAATGCAGATGAACTTGGCTGGAACTGCGATCCAGCTGAGGGGAGACGATTGTCTCACTTCACCTCCCAGCTCCCTCCTGGGTGGGCTGTTCTGTCCCCAGCATTAGTGGAGCAGAGCAGATTCTCATCACAGGTCTTCACCTGCAGGAGAGATGCTCATTAACCAGCCTGATTCACTCAGGATATTTTGCACTTTAACCCTTGGCAGCTGCTCTGGACCCTCCACAGAGCCCTGCAAGGTGGTGAGGGATGAGGAGGGTGAGGATGGATGTGAACTGGTGAAGGAAAAACCTCCCTTGACTCTGGTGCCCACTGGATGGGAAGGAGAAGACTTTTGGCTGCTGCCTGAGGCCACCACAGCTCCAAGAAAACTCATGATCTACCCCTGTTGCCTGTCCCTTGGTGGAGAGCTGTTGTTTTATTTATGGGTCATATAAACAATATAAATATGATATGAGAGGGCCCAGAACACCCCTCACTGGGCAGAGCATGCCCCCCCACATAACCCCTGAGCTCAATGCCTTGCTTTCCTATACACCTGAAATTACATATTTTTCATAGTGGGTGGTTTTATTACCGAGGAAAGATGGGGGAGGCTGAGCTGAACTAATTTTATTTGATTCTGTGGGCAACTGGCAGTTTTATACCTCTGTTTTATTTTTTTTAATGTGCTTTAATCAGGTGGCATCAGAATTGGGAACATCCATCCCAGAGCCTAGCGGTTCCTTCTGGGACTTTTGGGGACCTAATTCCCAAAGAGCAGCTTTCCTTCTGTGTTCACAGCTCCTGCCACTGGGCCAAGAAACCCAGAGATGGTCAGTGCTGGGGGCACCCCTCACCAGCAGTCCTGGCTACGATGCCTTGGGTTTTATCCATGCCAACCCCAAAAATGGGTCCATACATGGATGGAACCTGGCGGCTCCAGGGGTGCATGGCACGATCCCCCTCCAAAGATTCAGGGGTCTGGAATCATCCCACCCCAAACCCACAGGTTTTTCCTCAGCAGAGTTATCCACCCACTGGTGTCCTCAGCCTCCCCCAGCCTGGCTGGGGTCGGTGCTGTGCTGCTGACCTGGCCAGGTGGAGATGTCAAGGCAAGTCATTTTTTTTTTTTTGCTTTTTCACACTTTTCAGCTTGTTAACAGCCGTTGTTCCCTCTGCATCTGTCAGCCCAGGGGAGAACCACAGTGCTTTAGCCCTGTGTCGCCAGGGAGAGCTTAAATATCGTCATTAAAAAATCCCAGCCTTGCAGCATCTCCTCAGACATGCAGGAAGAAACCTTTGCAATTAGATTCCCTGTGCACTGGCAGGAGGGCAGGAGTTCTTTCCTTTCCCCCCCTTTTTGTGATGAGGATATTCTGTGATTTTTTAGGGCAGCAGGGAAAAAGAAAAAAGAGGAGAAAAAAAAAAAAAAGCAGCCTGTTTGATTTTCCTCATTATGTTAAGCCTGGTTTTACTTTCTGATTGCCAAAGCATGATAAATGGAACAGAGATTACCTAGAGATTTTCAAAGATTTGCTTTCAATTTGATTTTTCCTGAGCCTCATTAAGCCTGCAGGTTTTATCTACACTTTGTTCTTCCAGGGGAGTGACACGACCACATATTAATAGCCATATTTTTCATTCGTTGAAATTAAAACCAGATAGAGGCTTCTCATGCTTTGCTTTCAAATCCTATTTTAAAAAATATTGATCATGTGTGTGTTGTTTTCCTTTCCCTCTGACACTGCTGGCTCTGGAAAGGACGTTCACCAGGGAAATGCTTTCAGTCCTGGATCTCTGAGCATTACTGGGTGCAGTTCTGTGGATTAAGGAACATATTTTGGAAGCTATAATGTATAGATCAAAGAAAAATGTGGCTTTCAACAGAGAGGCAGATAAGAAAAACAAGATTTTTAAAGCAGGAGCTCTACAGTTAGGGGGTATAGAGGAGCTTAGACAAGATAAGATAATCTATGATGAGCCCATGTGCATCTTTCAGGAGAAGAGTGGCACTGGAAGAGCTCGTGCTCTGTGATTTTAGGAGAAACAGCCAAAAATCTCTGCTCCTGAGGCCACCACAGCCCTGGTGCTCCCTCACCCTCTGCCATCGAGCTGCTCATCTCCACAGCCCTGCCAGAGCCCCATCCTGCAAGGGAAAGGGCATTTCCCAGGGTCCTTTCCCTTGGATAGGCACACATGGTTTTTCTCCTCTTGTTTACAAGGGAATGTTTTCTTTTTTAAAAACAGGGACTGTTTTTGTAGCAGCTCCTGCCCTGCTTCGTAAACCAAACATTTCCCCAGCACTCTGTGTCTCAGATGACGTTATGGTTACTGGAATGCCAGTGGGAATATCCAGAATGTATTTCTTGGTGGAGCCTGGGGATTTTGTGCTGCCTGACTCCAAATGTGACTCCGATGGCTCCTTCTGGCTGAGCCAGCTGGACATGGCTGGTGCTGGGGCTCAGCTGGAGAAGGGTTTGTGTTCATGTGCCCAAGGCCAGCCCTCACCACCCTGCAGGAGGGGAGCATCCCCTCTGCTTCCACTGGCTCAGCTCAGGCTGAGACTCAGGGCAGGATGAAGTTGCCTTTACTGGTTCCAGTCTGGCAGGAGCTGGACATGTGCTGCTGGTTCTGATTCTACCCAGTTGTTGCCTCTGCTCCCCTTCCAACGACTTTGCACTCTCTACATGCATTTGTGGGAGAGGCTGGAGAGAGTTTTCCCTGTGGAGCACCCTCTCACTATCTCTGCTAGATACAGGATGCCAGATTTGATTAAAATGCTCTGATCTGCTCTGACAAATCCCCTGTTCCTAAGTAGATAATAACCAGAAAATCACCCTAAATAAATCCTGGGCTCAGATCTGTGCCCACACTTGTTATTCTTTTCATATTAATTAGATGCTTCCTCTTGTCCTGAACTGGGAGCATCCTCAGCCCCTCGAAGGAGAAAGGAGGCACGGATTTATGGCTGCTGAAGGACCAGGTGGAGTGTTGTCTGTAAAAAATGAGGGTCTAATTTGGCAGCATTGAGGCACAAGTAACCAGAAACACCTTGGCTGAGCAGAGATTAAAGGTTACAGATAGCTATAATCCCAAACTGCAGAGAAAAGTGCTGGGATACCTTTCCATCATACAGAATCATGGAATGGTTTGGGTTGGAAGGCACCTCAAAGGTCATCCAGTTCCAAGCCCCTGGCGTGGTCATGCCAGCTCAGTGAAGGCTGGCACCTGGAGGAGAGAGAGGAATATGCTGGAATAACACCTGTTCACTTTTCCTCTCTCTTTCTTCAGTATCACTGATCCACTTGATCCTGAGATGTCCCTTTGGCAAAGGGGAGTCCTGGGAACCATCTGCCCCCAGAGCTGGACCAGGTCTTTGCACCGAACAAAAGGAGTTTCACCGTGAGAGAAGTGACACCCCTGCCGGGGGTGGCTGCTGCACTCCTGGGGCCACCAGCCACGTCCACATCACCCGTGATCCAGCTTTTCGACCCTCTCCTTCCATCCGTGAATCCTCGGCGTGGATCCAAAGCCTTAGGACGGCAGCGCTGAGCTGCAGAACAAGGGTCCGGCTCGTAAAATCTGAGAAGAAAAACCCACCAGCAAACCCCCAAACAACTCTGGAGATGCAAACCTGTGAGGAGGCCGGTTTTGGGGAAGGGATGCAGGGATGCTGTGTCACCAGGAGGTGGCACAGCTCGAGCGGGGATGTCGCGCCGGGCCCCGCATCCCGCGCTGGACCCGCATCCCGGCACCCCCCAAAAGCGAGCGAAGTGATTCATCGGTTCCGGGAGAGAGGGGGAAAAGCCTCGCGTCTTCTTTCTCGGAAAGCCCTTGTGCAAAACCCTCGCGCATGGAACACAAACGGACCGAAAAAAACCAAAACAAAAAAAAAACCAAACCAAACCAAAACAAAAAAAACCACCCCAAACAAAAGAAAACCAAACAAACAAAAAAAAAAGGCAAAAATGAGCCCTGCTTTGAGAGCACGGGACACCCACTGCCTGTGTCCCCGTGGCCTTTCTGCACTGACTCCTCTTCCCCCTCTCCGGTGCCCTCATTCCCTGCTCCAAATCCCAGCAGTCTGTTCCTCAAGGAAACTCTTGTAGCACGTTAACAGCCAGCAGCTCGCAGAGGTTTCTCCTGCAAAAAGCAGATCCAGCAGCAGCACAAAACCAGAAAGACTCCATGGAGCAGAGAGGACAAGGTGTCCTGTGGCCTCTGAGAGTCCCATCCAGAGGTCTCCATCTCCGGATTCCCAGGGTGGAATCAAAAGCATTTTCCCCACAGGTCTTGTTTAACCCTTGTGGGGGTCTGTGGGTACTTGAGTCTGAGGTGAGACACCTGGAAATGGCAAATCAGCATTTTTTTCTCAATGATGGCAATTTTCCCTTCCTAGAAAGGGCAGAACAGAGGCTGCAGAAGGAAGAGGTCAGTCATCAGCAATTGGACTGGATGATCCCAGAGGCCTTTTCCAACCTTAATGGGTCTGTGATTGCAGAGCAGAAGTGTTTGTTTTGAAGGGAGCACTGACCTGCAGCCCTTCTACTGGAAACCTTGCACTTCAAGAAAATTATGGTCTGTATTTCACTTGAACAGACGATTTTGAAGTGCTATTGTTGGTAAACCAGAATCCCAGAATGGTTTGGGCTGGAAAGGATGTTAAAGATCATCTTGTTCCAACCCCTGCCGTGGGCAGGGACACCTTCCACCAGAGCAGGCAGAGCCACATCCACCCTGGCCTTGGCCACTTAGCCCACACCCAGCTTGTAACAAAAGAAAAAAAGTGATTTCTTCCCAATGAAGAGTTCCTTCTCTCCCAGTTTTTCCTTCTTGGGTTTGCTTTTTAAATCCAGCTCATCTTTTAGCTTTCCTTGGGGATGCAGTGACTTCATGTCCTGCCCTCCCATCTCAGGCTGGAGGGGTTGGTGCAGGACACCCCTGTGAGAGCATCCAGGGGGGACAAAGAGCTGCTGCTCTCCAACCCTCCCACTCAGATTCCCCATCTGTTTTCCCTGTAGTCGCTGCAGCATCTTCCAGGAAAGCGCCAGGACAGGGATAGATGTTCTGCAAAGGCAGGAAATCAGATGTAGGAGATGTTGTGCAATAATTTACTCACCGGAGCCCGTTTTTCCTCCTCAGTCCCTCGCAAGAGTCAATCACAGATCCCCCTGTGAAATGTGGTGTAGGCCTGTGATGTGAGGTTGGCAGGAGGCTTCTGTCCTGTCTTCAGAGGGAAACAAACAGCAGATTCAAGGCCAATTATCTTTCAAATTACAGCAAAAAAACAAACAAAAAAAACCAAAAAAGAAAAACAAACAAACAAACCAAACCAAAACAAAACCCACAACAAAAAATATCCCTTCTTACTTCTTTTTGTTGTTCTTTCCGAATTCCTGCTTAGCATCCTGAGAACCCTTCAGAGGATTTTGCATGTAGAACATGAAATGAATTTCTCACAATGAGGCCAAAGAAAACTGAGGTCTGTGGGTGGAGGAAGCTGCAGCCCATGCCAGCAGCCAGTGCCAGCAAGGAGGTGTCCTCAGCTGCCTAAGGTGAGGATGAGCACTGCCTTAAATCCTCCCCTCATCCTGTGGCACTTGCTTTAACCAATTAATTAATTAATTAATTAATATTTGCTGGGATTTGGAACATAAGGAGTATTTCCTGTAGCCCAGTGCAGACTCTGCCTCTTAGTTCATCTGTGGCCACAGTACTGAAATAGCTGAAAAAACCTAAAAAAAGAGACCATTTACAGCTCAATCCTGACAGCACCAACCCCCCTTCCCACTGGGGTCTGGGGCAGGTGGTGGTGGGCAAAAAGAGCTTCCTTCACGTGCCTGGAGGAGAAGGAAGATGCCTTGGGTCATCTTGGTGGGTTTTGTGGCTGGAGGAGCTGATGGCTGGGCTGGCTCCTGGCTCTCAAGGCTTTAGGGCACAGAAGAAGACAAAGACAAAACAGAAAGATAGACAGATAGATAGATAGATAGATAGATAGATAGATAGATAGATAGATAGATAGATAGATAGAATGAAAGAAGTTGTCCAAAGCAAGGGCCAAGCTCCAAGATCTGACTATTTCCTATAGCTACATCCATTTACCTGTCCATAAAACATCATCTGATGTCTGTGCCAGGATGAAGATGCACAGGAACAAACCAAACACCTCCCTTTTGCCCAGAACACGAGTTCGTGAACTTCTGTTATCATTCAGGCCTGCTCTAATTGAAACATCATGTCTTACACAATCATCTCCTTCTCTGTCCCCTTCTTTCACTCTTTTAGAAACCATTTCCTGCTTTTTCCAGCTGGACACACTATCCCTCTTCCTGCTTTGAAGCAAATGTTTTGTTGGGTTTGGCTGCTGTCACAGCCACACATCGTCTTCTGCCTGATATTTTATCCATCTGCTGCTAAGGAGAATATTTTTTAGCTGAAAGTCTCAAAAGGGTTCTGAGGGGCTGAGTCGAATCAGGGAAGTACCAGCACAAGACAAAAACATCTCCTCTCTGAGCCTTCCCATGCACAGTCATTCAGGCTGAAACACCATAAAAATTAAATGCTGGGAGATGCTTGTTACAACATCCTGGTACTCCAGTGCCGTGCTGGGTCCCATCTGAGGAGCTGATACACCCTGCTCACCCCTCCACTCGTGGGGATGGGATCCAGCTCTGATTTCCTCTCAAGTGAACGGAAAAAGAGAGTTGGATTCCTGTGCTGTGGAGGTTGCCAGCATCTGCCTTGCCTCATTTCTTCAGCTTGAAGAACATCTGGCTCTGCTCTGGGACAGCCATGCGTGGCCAGTGGAGCTGTGTGCACTGTGATGAAGCCTCTTGAAGCCTGGCTGGGGATACTCATTGCCATCCTGGCAGGGGACACTCCATATTCATGGTGCCTTTCCTTCCAGAACACACACAAATAACTTTCTCTTTGATGCTGGTCCTGACTCCTGGGTTGCTCTGAAAAAAAGGGATGTTTTTTTTTTGTCCAGCCAAGCTCCAAGATCCGGAGGTGCCTGCCCAGAGGAGGCACATGTGGCCGTGGCACTGCTGCTGGGAAGGGGGCACAGGAGGGGCTGTGAGGAGCTGCCCAGGGCAGGGGGATGTTTCCTGCACCCCACAAGGTGTCTGCAGGCAGGACACCATCTCACAGACCCTGCTCTGGGCTTCCTCTGCAGGACACCAGCCCTTTGCTTGGCATCTCTCAGCTTTGCCCTCCCCCCACCCTGCAGAGGTTTGTCTCACAGAAGCTGTGTCACCCCTTCTTGTGAAGTTCCTTGGAATTCTCAGAAATACCACTTTTTGCTGGCTTTGCTTACTTGCACTCAAGGGAGTTGCTTAATTAGCCTTTGAACTAGACAATGCCCATCTCTGTCACAGCTTTGAGGAGACCTGGAAAGCCATTCCTGCCCAGACCTGTGGACTGTCCTTCAAACACCCCTTAGCTCCCCAAATCTTGGGGTGACACACTGTCCCCAGGCTCCTAAACCTTGAGCACACACGTGCCTTGCTCCCCTGGTCCCCAGCACTCAAAACCTGCCATCTGGCCTTGTTTTTCTCAGTAACCTGTAAGGTCTGGGCTGCTCCTTGCTGTCGGGATGCCCGTTTGGGATGTGGTGCTTGTGGATCAGAGCCGGAGGCAGCTCATGAATGGCCCTTTGTGTGCTTGGTGGCTTTGCTGCACAAAGGGGCCATTATTAGATCTAACAAATAAGAATCTTCCTGTTAATAAGATTAAGTTGTTGCCTGAGTTACTGAGGGGAGCGTGTGGCATCTGCAGCAGGAGCTGCCTCACCCACTGCCTGCTGGACGATGGATCCACCCTCTGGCATGGCCAGAGGCAAAGGGCATGGGGGGCTCGTGCTCTGCTGCAAAACAAGGGGAATAACCAGGCTGTCAGGGCAGTTCTGGGGCTGGTTTTGTGCTGGAGGTGATGCTGTCACAGCCCCTGCAATCCCAGAGCAGGTAGAGCGACTGCAGCTGCTGGGGATGGTTTTCCTCCTGCAGCAATTCAGCTCCAGGCAGGGGAAGGGAGAGGGGTGGAGGCAAACTCCAAAGGGAATATTCAGTAAGTCAGTGCATTTCCAGGAAATCTCTCTCTTGTTCTTTTTTCTTTCTTTTCCTTTTTTTTTTTTTCTTTCCAGTGGAAAAGCTCAGTCCTCGTGAACTTTTTGAGAACTTTTGTTCATTCCCCCTTGCCAGCTAAGCTCTGCTTTGTGCTGGTGACAGAACCCCTTTCTCCAAGCACTGGCTGTGAGCCAGGACATGGAAATCTCCAGTGTGTGCTGGCAATGCCACAAGCCCTGTTCCCCCTTCCCTCCAGGCTGATGCAAAGCCCCAGCTCCAACCAGCTCCTCTCTGGGGACTCTCTGTGGGTCTGTTTCCTTCTCCTCCCTGTGCAGGGGGTGATGGAGCAAGCGATGGAAAATGCCAAATATCATGAGGAATAGTCAGTCAAACCTGTGGGAGTGGAGGGTGGTGGTGGCAGCTCCTTGGAAGACACAACTGTCCAAGTGCTGTCAGAAGGAACCCATCATTTCCAGCTCCAGAGATGTTCTCTCTAAGACAGGACTTGTTTCCTGGGCCTTTTAGTACTGTTTGGGTCTTTGCATCATCCAAAGAGCTCCAAAGGGGCCTGGTTCCATCGTGCTGGGTGGTGAAGAGAAGAGGTTTCCTGGAGGGTTCCTGTGTAAGGGCAGAGAGACAGAGGGCAGAACAGAGGGAAGCCAAACTATTTCACAAGTCCACTCAAATCAGCAGCCAGTGCAGCAGAGGGACCAACACCACCAGCAGCATCTCCAGAGGCAAAGACCACAAAATGCTGATGAGAAAAAACCCTTAACACTAATGGGTCATATAAACTGTATCCATCTCAGGAGGCTCGTGGCTTTAGTTCCTCAGCACTGCTGATATCCCCAGGGCACTAAATAAAACTTTTCCCTTGCACAGAATTCCCACTTCCTGGAGCTGAGTGTAAGAACAGGTGACAAAAATGTTTGGTGACTTCACTTACCCGTTTCTCAGGGGTGAGGAGTAGAAAGGGAGCTGTTGTGCAACCAGGATGGAAATAGCCAGGATCTCTCTAAATGTGTGTCCTCCAACTGCCAAAATATGTTTTGAAGCTGAGTGGGGAACATACACAAGCGGTGATTGCAACACAGCCACCACTGGGATTGTGTGGAGAGAATTTGAATCAATATTTTCTGTGAGAGTTTTAACCTTTGCAAATGATCTGGGCACAGGGATAACAGGAGGGAAATCACAGAGTCAGAGGTTGGGGTTGAAAGGGACTATTAAGGGTCATCTAGTCCACCCCCTCTGCAGTGAGCAAGGCCATTTTCCACTATCCCAGGTTGCTCCAAGCCCCATTCAACCTGGCCTGGAATGTTCCAAGGGATGGGGCACCCACAGCTTCTCTGGACAGCCTGTGCCAGGGTCTCACCACCCTCCTTGTAAAAAATTGGTTCCTAATCTCTGATGTAACCCTGCCCCCTGTCAGTGTGAAGTCATTCCCCCTTGTCCTGTCACTACATGCCCTTGTGAAAAATCCCTCTCCAGCTCTCTCGTAGACCCTTTAGCTACTGGAAGGGGCTCTGAGATATCCCTGGAATCTTCTCCAGGCTGCAGAGCCCAGGGTGGTTTCCAGGGGGAAGGACTGACAGTCCCTTGCCCAAGCATGGAGAGAGGGCAGGGGAGAGCACTCGCCAAGCCAGGCTGCCAGAGATAGTTCAACATGATGGACTGCAACCACCTGGCCATCACCCCCAGCCCTCTGCAGCACCTCCATTCCCAGGGGAAGGAGCTTGAGCTGTTCCTGGTGGTCCCCAGCAATGATGACAGATGAGGACGTAACTGCAGTTTCCATAGAGGCATTTATTGGAAGGGTATAGAGTGCAAATTTCAATATTTGAACATGTCGTAGGCAAACAGTCCCAGACACTGGTGGGGGAGGAGCCCAGAAGGTCAGCAGCCTGTCAGGATTCCCTGATGCCCCCAGATCCAGAGAGACTCCATCCCCAAAGATGGGCCATGACCCTTCTTTCTGCAAACCTTCCAGTCCCTGGGCTGCAGCCTGCTCTGCTTGACAAGAGCTCTCACCAGTCAGGCACTATTTCATCCACCACCCTTTGGAAGTGCAGCTTGGGATGGGCCTCAGACACCTGCAGGGTCCAGGTGGAATGTCCTGTCCTTCACTGCTGGTCACTGGAAAGGCAGAGCCTGTTCCCCCTCTCTGGGATACACTGATAGTGGCAGTAAATACACACATTTGGTTAATACTGAGTAATGCATAAATGAGCATCTTGGGCCTTCAACACTCCTGCTGCTGAAGCTGCTTCCATTCGAAAGTCCCGTCCAAAGTCAGATCAAAATTATCCTTTTCCTGCTCTCGGGAGAGTTCCAGAAACACCTGAAATGTGCAAGATAAAGCTCAGATGACTTTCCTGGCTTTCATGAGATGCTGTGATGCTCCTTTACAGCTCTGAAGCCCCTGTGAGAGGTGTGTGAAGCATTTTTATGTGAGGAGCAGGTACCTGGCAGCTGAGACTCAATGTGTTCTCTGGTATGACCTGCCATAGGTACGTCCATACAGTAGATTTTACCCACCAATTAATTGGCATAAACATTCCTCATCTTTCCTTGCAGCCCTGTACAAGCAGCAATAACCTGTTGCTTCCAAAGAAACTGGAGAGGTTGGGCATGGGCACCTACCAAGGGCATCCATCCCTTGGGTGTGATGTGTGAGTGGAGTCTGAGACTTTACCCACACTTTTTTCCCACCATGGAAAATCCCAGCAGTAAAAAACCCCAACCATTTATCACCACTTTCCCAGCTGAGGACCCCCCACCCATCACCCTCAGGCAGTTTTTTGGTGGAGCTGCCACTGCACCAGCCCAGCTTTCACTGCAGCCTTTGTTTCTTCTCAGGCCTTTACAGCACAACTAGCCCTGAAATCACCTGCCTGAGTCAAAGTATTCAAGGAGAAGCTGTACTCCTCGAGGCTGCAGCTTCGTTTGGCTGTGGAGAAATGGGAAGAGAGTCAAAAATCAGCAGTCTGTGCTCCACCTTTTCAACAGGTCACCTTGTTTTGTTCTTACCTTCCTCTAGCTTGGAGAAAGACTGAGACAGGGGCAGTGCATCTTCCATTGGGACCTTGTAGACAAGCAAAGAGGGGAACCTTCAAGAAAAAGAAGGAAAGGTGATTCTTGCTCTGCAATAAGGTTCTGGGATCAAAACTTTGTGGATGTTTGGGTGTTTTGCTGTCAGGATCACAGCAGGGCTGGATGTGGGGACTTTATCAAACCAGGTCTCCATAGTGGGACTCTGAGCTGTTCCTCCTTCTCCAGCTGGTATCCTGTGTCTGGCCATCACACAGGGCATATTTTTAGGGATGAGGCAGTGTTGGAACCACTATTCATCCCATATTCTTTAGTTACCGCTCCTGACGGGCTGCACTTGGGAAAATCTTCAAAATCTCGGCGTGGAGAAGATCTGTGTGCTCTGGATCCTTGGCCTTGATTTCCAGCAGATACCCTTTGCCAAACTTGTTCTTCAGGTACTGAATGGAGCCAATGCACCTGCAGGGGAGGGAGGGAGGGAGGAGCAAGAAGAGAAGCTGGTGTGAAACCACTGCAACCCCACTGCCTGCTGCTTCCCATACAGTGGGGAAACCTCGGGGAGCGCTTCATAAAGCCCACGGTGATGGGGTGGGGCAGGTGAGACCAGAGGAGGAACATGGATGGTTTCCCAGCTCAGCCACGTGCCTCAGCTGCCCAGACACCAGGATGGCCACACGGTCACACACGGCCTCTGCCTCCTCCATGTAGTGCGTGGTCAGGATGGCTCCCGACTCCTGGGTTGTCAGGGCATCACGGATCATCTTCCTGAGGGACAGAGGGGAAAGAAAAAAAAAAAAAAAAAAAAAAAAAGAATGTCCAACACTCCCTAGAAATGTCAGACACTTTTCCCTACACCTTTGTCCCTCCAAGTGCCTCTCCCCTAAAGCAAGTGTGTAATCTTCACACAGAGCAAGTTTAGACTGATGAGCACAGGGTAGTGCTTTGAAATAATGACAAGAAGTACTTTTGGCTCAAGTGTCATCGTGAATTCTTCCAAATCCCATATATGACTGCCCTAAAGTCTGCAAAAAGGAGGAAGGTAAAATGGTTCTTCTCTCTCCTTGCCCGTGGCTGATCTAGAGAGAGCCAAGAACATGGCGTTGGCACACTCTGAGCGACACCAACTGTGGAGGGGGTAAAACACTCTTTACCTAAAATTAGGCACCTGCTTTTTGCTTTCCCACCCCTTGACCACTGGGGTGGCACAATGCCTGAGTTCCTACTCACCAGACACAGCGCTGCCCGTTGGGGTCCATGCCCGTGGAGGGCTCGTCCAGGAGCAGGATGGAGGGGTTGCCCAGCATACACACTGCAACACACAGCTAGGGCAGGGAAAGGGGCTCGGTCAAAGCTTTTACACTCCTTGGCACTCTGCAATTTGCCTGCTTTTTGGGAATTAAGGTTCTTATTTATGGGAAATGCCAGTTTGGAAAAGGCTTATTCCCATCACCCCGCTATGGGAAGCAATGTGATGCCCTCCCGGGTCTCTCAGAGCACAGGCAGGTCCCTCTGCTCGTGAAGGAGGTTTTTAATTTGTGCTGTGAGCATTGCAGATCCCATTACAGGCAAAGAATACCAAACCTTTCTGGTTATCCCAGCAGACAATTTTCTGGCTTTTTTTTTTAAGTAGTCTTGAAGCTGAAGAGCATTCACTATCCTGTGGGGAAAGGGAGCAAGTGAAAAAAAAGAACATTTTTGTTATTCCAAATCAATAGCTCATCAAGGATTCCCAAAATGACAAGGAGAAGGAACTGTCTTCCCCTTGCTCTTGACTCCTGCTTGTTTTTATTAAACATTTATTGTGTTATTAAACTGTAAGTGAATATTTGAAGCAAAGTGTACTGAATAAGCCACAAGTTCTTTTCTAAACCCATCATTAGTGTCAAGAGCATTATAAATCCATTCCACCTTGCCAGAGTCAGCTGAGCAGGCAGTACTTAAAACCCTTTCTTGTTGTACCAAACTGTAGCATTAAAGATTTTAGAAATCTGCCTGCAGATAACACACCTAAAAGATAACATCCCCTAAAAGGACATTAGTGGTAAATTTAAAGAAAAAAATATCCCCTCTAAACGCCCTCAGGAAAACTGGAGGTTTTCTTAACCCACTCCATCACGGCTTTCGGCACAAAAGCACTTTTGCAACCACATTTCCTGAGTTTCTGTCAAGGTTTTCTGTGGCTCACGGTGAATTTTGACCTTTTGGTGCCCTCCCCTGTAGGGGGTAAGATGTTGAAGACCCCCCCTCGGTACCTGGTGACGGCGGCTGTGGCGTCCCCCTTGCGCAGCCCCTTCACGGCCGCGTAGACCTTCAGGTGCTCGAGCACGGTGAGGTCCAGCCAGAGCGGGCTCTCCTGAGGGCAGTACCCCAGGAAGGCGGGCCCGTGGTCCTGGGGGGCTGCTCCACCTCCCCTCTTCATCAGCACCTGCACAACCAGGGCAGGGTGGTTTTCCTCCCCCCCAGCCTTGCCCAGGCACAGGGGTGCGTTGGGAGCTGTGGGCTTTGCTGGGGCATGGGGGGAGAGGAGACCCCAAGAGCTCAAGGAGTGATCTCACAACCCTCATTTGTATGGTTTTAAAGTATAAACACAGCTAATTAGGGCAGATGAAACTGCTTGTCAAAATTACAAGCAGCTCACAATATTTTTTATTTATACATTATTTAATTTAGAAGCACGAAGTTAAAACCTTGATCACTATGGTGAAAGTTATAGCTTAGCTTAGGTGCAGGTTTTGCTCTTTTATCATGAATCCACCCCTTTTTCTCCAGATGTTTCCTACCTGCCCAGCAGTCAGGGTTGTCTCTCCAGTAATCATTTTGATAGCTGTGCTTTTACCAGCTCCGTTGGGCCCCAGAAGTCCTAATACTTCTCCTGGAACCAATACATGTCATTTCTCAAGAATACTCTCCATCCAAGAAACATATCACAGTCCCCCAAGAGAAAAAATATAAAAGACAGAATATAATATCAAAGATCATATAAAATAAACTATTTTATTTTATACAATACATGCTCTGAGAGCCCACAACATTCCAACTCTAGCTGATGCTGCAAGTCTGAGCTTTGATCCCAGAAGCCACTGCTAAAACAGGACCCTCTCTCCAGTCTCTACATTATTTTAGATAATGGATAGTCAAAGGTAACTAATAGGATGGATCCCTATCATATGGTTCATTAACACATCAACCCCAGACCAAACATGCCTCAGTGACTGAGCAAATACATTTGACCTTTATGTCCTTGCTCAGATAACTGAGAATCTGCAGAGAATTAACTCTCTGGGTGTGATCAAAACAGGTCTAGAACAGTCCCAGTTCTCACCTTTTTTAACATGGAAGGAAACATTCTTGGTGGCTGTTTTCTTCTTCTTCTTAAAAACAGAACCAGCTTGCTTTATTTTGTATTCCTTGCACAGATTGCTGACTATAATGACTGATTTCTGTAGGAGAAGAGGAAGAAGCAAGATCAGTTTATTATTTTGGATATCATTAATACTTCAGTAATGTTTTTCCATTAAAGAGCTAGAAAGCCTTTAAAGATCTTCTTTTTATAGTTCACCAGGAATATGAGGTGCCACAGGACACTTTATTGTCCATGTTCCCCGAACAACTTTCTCTTCTACCCTGATGGAACCCACACTGTACTTTGGGGAGTTTTATTTTCCCAGTAAGAACAACACAGCCAGACCACTGACCTGCTCTAATTGACAGCTGGTGGTTTGTGTTTTACAGGTATAAAATAAAACAAAACAAGAAGAACAACACTCAGTTGTACCTCGTCCTGGCTCGGAGCTGCTATGGCATTTTTCACTGCTTCTCTTTCAGCTTTAACATCTTCATCTTCCTCTTCCAGCTCCTTGGGGTGCTGGTGGCTGCTTTCTCTTCTTGGGGAAATCCTGAAAACCCCACAGATTTGTCTTAGGATTTTGTTCTTTACCTTTTTTCTCCACCAACGCATTTTGGAGAGACCAAGAGTGAATGTCCCTCTGATTCAGTGTTCCTTCTACTTTTTAATTATTTATTTTATTACTATTATCACCATCATCATCATTATTATTATTAAAATATTTATAATGTCTCTGTGTTGTACAAAGAACCAAACTGGTACATCCCAGAGCACAGACAACATCATGTGGTGGTACTTACAAGCTTGAGAGCTGTTTTATATTATCACAGCACTGTGGTATTTAAGGGGCTATTTTACCCATTAAAAAATCATCACTATTTAAATAAAAACCCTATTTAAAAATAAGGACACAAGGGCAATCAAGGAGTTTAGATCTCACATGTGCCTGTGGGGCATGTGTGCTTATACAAACCTAAATATTGGGTCCTTTCTCAGAACTGCTCTTCCATATTTTAACTCCAAGTAGCGGAGGAGAAAAATGAAAGCCACAGAATGGACATAGGGCTGAAACAAAAGAGGTTGCCACATCATTAACAGCCTTGCCTTCCCTCCTACTACAGCTGGCACTGAGGTGGTGGCAGTGTTACAAAATAGGTGGGAAAACACAGGATGTGCAAATGGAGTCCATTACCATCTAAACTCAGGGTAGTTCTGAAGGCTGTGAACTCTGTTATCACTTACCAACACTGCAGAAAATACTAAGGGCAGGGAAAAGCCCCAGTTCATAGAATAACAGGGCAGCAGTACGGAATCTGGGTTTATTCCCTTTTCCCTTTCCCATTTCAAAGGTGTGAGGTTATTTCAGCACAGTGGATGATCTGTCACCCAGATCCTCCTCCTGCATGACACGAGCTCAGGGTTTTTCCTGCTTCCTCATAACCTGGGGGGGGGCTGAGAAGACCCACATTCCTATATAAAAGTGATGTTCAATGTTTTCTTACTGCAAAGACAGCGACTAGTGCATCGTTGCCAGAAGTCGATGACAGTGTCTTCCATAAAAGGCTGTAAGAACAAAAAAAAAATACAAAAACCCATAATTCTTTAGTATCTGCAGCCTGAGAAGGACCCCCCAGCCCTCAATGAACAGCTGGAAAAACGAGACCTGACCCGAGAAGGTTATTTAACAATGGACTCAGTCCATTTGGGAAATCTCACCCAGAATGAGCCTCCCCAGACTTTGCTCCCAAGGGCCCACAGTTGTGCTCTGTGCCTGTCCTTGCCAAGCAGCACCATTTACCTGCTGGAACACAAACCCCAGCAGGGGATACACGGGAATCAGGAGAGACAGAATGTAGAGGGAGTTCCGAGGGTCGCTTGAAAAATCCATGACTCTGCCGATTAAAAGAGAGATAAGGCACACCTGAAAACAAAACAAGAGGGCAACTTAGCTGGTGGGAAGGGTGATTTGACACCCAGCTCATCCTTAAGATCTCAAGACACCCTTGTGCAAAGCCTGCAGTGGGTTATCCAACCATGTGCTTACCACTATCAGGATAAAAGACCAAAGGTCACAGTTCCATCCCTTGCGAGAGTTGAAGGAGATCAAGTAGATTAAGAGAACGAGAGAAATCCCATAACCCAACGTCACCATGACCTGCAGGAAAAAAAAAAAAAAGGCTTTCACTGGAGAAAATGGAGTGACCTAAACCATCAGAAACCCATACACAGCAATGGAGCTCGGTGTAAATGATCATATATTAAGGTCATTTAGTGATTACCCCAATTTTACTGCGAGGTGTAAAAGAACATACCAAAGCAAGATTTACTGCCTTTTGTTTCCTGCTGGAGAAATCCAAATGATAGGATGTCAGTAAGAGGACCCAGAGGTGTCTCAGCTGCCCCTACACGTGCTCCAGGTATTCCCCCAATCCCTCCCCAGGGAACCAACAGTCACCAGGACGGGACGTACCAGTGAGAAGGTGTTGATGGACCCAGAAATCTTGTTGCTCATGGCAAACAGGAGCCCAAACATGGAGAAGAGCAGGATCCAGCACAGTGGGATGTCCACCAGTGCCTGGCCACACCAGTAGGCCGAAGGGAAGAGCCCCGAGACCCTCAGCTGGTCACGAGCTCCCACCTGGGAAGGCACAATGCAAAGGGGAGTTTGCTGTCAGTGCCATGGGAACGGCTCCAGGAAATAAAAAGGTAATAAAAATCAGAATAAAATTCGACCTCTCTTTGTCTTTTCACACTCTGTGCTGGCTGCAAAGCTGCTCATGGCAACACAGATCAAAACACTGTGAGCTGCCCATCACATGGTTGGACTCAATGACCTTGGAGTCAATCTAAATGATTCTGTGCTTCTGTTCCAACCTGAATTATTTTATAATTCTACTCCAACCTAACTGATTCAATTCTAATCTAAATGATTCTATGATTCTACTCCAACCTAAATGATTCTATAATTCTATTCCAGCCTAAATGATGCTCTGTTTCTATATTCAGTCATCCTTGAGGCAATGCAGTTGCAGCCCCTTCTGCCCACCCCAAATCTGCTCCTTTTCAAGGAATTTACCTTGTAGTCCTGCATGCAGCCCATTGCAAAGTGAGGAGGAAAACCAGGGAATAACACCAGCATATAAATGAGGTAAAAGGGAATAAAATAATCCCAGTATAGTGGATTTTGGAGCTGAAAACAGAAGAAAAAAGCATTTGTAGAAAATGGTCTGCAGTGAAATGCAACCATTCATCGTACTGCATTTCTCGTGGATTACAGGGCACTGTGAACAGAAAGTGGGATTTGAAACCAGATAGTGGCAGGAGGAGGGTTTCCCAAACCATAGCCCTGCAAAGTGCTTGCCTCTGTTGAGGAGAGATGGATGGTGAAGGTCCTACTCCTCCATCCCAGGCTTGGGATGAGCTCTCTTTGATGGGCCACAGCTTGAAAAATGTGATGTAGGGAATAAGGAGCCTCCTGGAGAAGCCCTCCCAGCCACCCTCTCTGATCAGCAGCACTCAAGACCCACAAGGGAAAAATGAGCATCAGTTTTCCTGGTGTCAAACGTGGTGGCTCCACAGCCACCAGTGGGTTTACAGGCACAGACAGCCCTGCACAGCTCCCCCTTAAAACCTGAGGGTTTACTGAGACCTTGAACTGCTCTCTGACCCCTTCTGGCTTCGCTTACAGAGAAAAAGGGGTGGCTCCAGACGCGGATGTGCCCGGTGGAGTTGAGGGTTCTCAGCAGGGCGTTGCTGATGATGTTCACAAGCACAGGGAAGCAGTTCATGGCCTCCAAGTGGCACAACACGGTGAACCTGTAGCTCTTCAAAGAGCAAGGAAACAAGATGAAAACTCCTCGTTTTTCTCATCTGCAGGGAAGCAATGGGAAAGGAGCACACGGGGAGAATCCAGGCCTGGAATAACTTTGTTTATGCCCTTGTTTGTTAAAAACCAAGTTACGAGGTGTTGGAAGTCTGTGCTAAAAAAATGTAAATTTTGAGGTGGAGGGTGAGGGAGATAAAGTCTCCTCTAGCATGTGGTTTACTACTTAGAACACTTTCCAATCTTTGAACCTGTGGGCCTTATTCAACAGGGCCATCCCACAGAGAGAGCTGATGGAGACATCTTGCTGTTGTTATTCAACTGGTGGAGGAAGGAACTGGAGGGAGAGAAGACAAATCCTCACCTGACCTTCGAGAGACACTTCTATGGCCCCATTGTGTTTCATTTCCTCGGTGATATTGCCCTCGCTCGTTATTTCCACCGTAAGGTCTTGGCTCTGGAGCACGTGGATGAAGCTGTCAATGCCTGTGCCTGGGGTGAAGGGGCCAAAAGCAGAGCAATCATAATACTGAAAAACAAAAGAGCCTTTGATGGGTCGATTTTTAATCTTGTTTTCAAACCTGTGACCGTGAAACCAGGGGATGTCTAATAAGAGGCCCCAGAACAGGGAAGGATGAGGAAAGGCTCACCTGTGTTGTTGTGGACCAGGAGGGTGGTTGTCTCCAGGTAGGATTTCTTCCCCAGGGGCAGGAAGTACCGTGCAGACGAGAGCTCCCAGACACTCACACTCTTCCAGGCAGCAACCAGGGACAGTTGCAAAACCACAGGAAGCAGAAAAACCACATAGAGCAGCAAACTGCATCAAGAAAGAGATGAATAAACACTCTGAAACCAGACGTTCAGCAGAAATGCATTTGTGTGTTGGAAACAGTGGGTGATATTCAGGTTATCAAAACTCTTTCTGGTAAAAATCATAGAATCACAGAACATCCTGAGCTGGAAGGGACTCACAATAACTGTGGAATCCAACTCCTGGCCCTGCACAGACACCCCAGCAATGCCACTTTGTCCCTCAGAGCATTGTCCAAACCCTCCTGAAGCTCTGGCAGCCTTGGGGCTGTGCCCACTGCCCTGGGGAGCCTGTTCAGTGCCCAACCACCCTCTGGAGGAAGAACCTTTCCCTGAGATCCAACCTGACCCTGCCCTGACACAGCTCCAGTCATTCCCTTGGGTCCTGTCACTGGTCACCAGAGAGGAGAATTTTATTTCCAGAAGTCTCAAGCCTTGATCGTTCACCAAGACACTCGAAATTTAGGAGGGAGAGGATCTCAGATCTGGAGTGCTCAATTTTTTAGGGCCATGAAATGCCTTTCAGACTTCCTTTAGATACAGGTTTTCAGTAAATGAGCATCTTCCTTTTGTTTCTTGTGCTCCACCAGGAAATGACAGCTTGAACACCAACGGGGCCAAATCAGGCAGTGGCATCACTAGAGAAGTTTAAAAAAAATTGCAGAGGAAGTCTGAAGATACCCTCTGTAGACACTAGCTTGTTTTGAAACCTCCTCCTCCATCTGAAATACAAGTGTTTCTTTCTTCAGAAAGAAAATGCATTTCTCTTATATAAATTATTCATACAGAAATGAAGTGCACAAAAGGGAGATTTTGTGTTACTGGCACTGGAAAGGAAGAAGCTTTCCTCTCCTCTGAGTGCAGATTTCCCAGATTATTCATACCCGAGACCTGACACCAGTTAATCCAAACTCCATCAGAACAGGGGTGTGGAAATTGTCCCCCCGAGTGTGGTCATGTCCAGCTCCAGATCTCCGAGGGACACTCACTGTGGTACTTACATTGACCGCAGGTTTTTCACCGAACTCTTGAGCTTTAAGAAGTGCACCCATGCCATGGCAGAGACCTGCTGCCTCCAGAGGGCCAGGCCATCCACTGTCACCTTCCCAGCGTCCGAGAGCAGGAGGGAGCCCGGCTTGATCTCGTCGGAGCCTTGCGGTCCTGCCTCTGCCCACTCGTCCCCGAGGACGTGCTCATCTGCAGAGAGTCCCCACGGGCACATTTATGTCTAAGAACACCCTCTGTGTTGTAATTCATGAAAATTTAAGAGCCACCCTTGGAGGCCCGTGCAGGGGTTATCTCAGAGGAGCTGATCTCTTTGCCTGTGGGTTGTACATTCACAACCACGACCGCACCTTCTCCGGTCCGCCGTGTCTTCTCCCTCCAGTTTCAGGAAGACGTCCTCCAGGGTTGTCATGCTGACCCCATAATTGATAATGCCCTTCCCAGAGCAGCTGTCGAGGCCACTGAACAGATCTGCAGGACAGAGATAAAACAAGGCCATGAGCACGTGTCTCCAGGTCACTTTGGTTCAGCTGAGCCCTTTTCACGTAGCAGCAAGAAAACTGAACTCTCAGTACCACAGTTTAGCCTGCTGGGTTTGTCATTACAAGCAGTAGAAAAGCATTTATTGCACAGTTTGATCTTAAACACAGAGATGATAAAATTGTGTGGAAAACCCAAAACGGAACAGTTCTGAAGTCCTGATGTGATCCCTGTAGAAAATCTCCCTTTTCATTTCACTTTCCCCACAGCTGTGACTATTTGTTTCTCTATGGCTGATTCTCAGTTATTTTAGCACACATTACCTGGGAACCTATTCACGTTTTCTAATGGCAGTTTATATCTCAGCTCATACTGGCTGTGTCCTGAGAAGGTGGCGTTGGGGATGTACCGCTTAACCTGGGATGTCACATTCTCCAAGTCACAGGACTCACTGACGTGGATCCTGTTGGATTGAAGAAACACAGATGCTTAGTTTTGGAATGAAAACCACCAAAACCCACCCAAACAAACAACAGTCACTATTATTGCTAAGATGAATAAAAGAAAACTCCAGAATACTTCATTCCTTCCCTACCCTAGGGTAAAGTGCTGTTTCAGATAATTTAAATCACTATAAATTTAGTTATTTTGTTTGTTTTGATGACACCTGCTCTACCATTTGCATTAATTTTGATACCCCCCCAAGATACCAGGTCATGGAGCTCAAGTAGGTACCTTAAATGGTAACAAATCCCCCATTTTTTCTTCAGGAACAGCGAGGAACCGACACACTTCAGCCTCCCGTGCGAGATAAAAGCCTTACGGTCTGAAGCAAGGAAAAGCCAAAGGGATTCACAGTGCACAGCAGTCATTCCAAACTTTTCTGGCAAATGGCTTTCTGCTCCAGGGCTGTCCTGCAGAGGTGCCCCAGGCTGAGCCCCTGCCCACCTGCCAGGATATCGGCCTCGTCCATGAACTGGGTGCTGAACAGGATCACCCGGCCCGCCCGCCGCTCCCTCAGGAGGCTCCACACCTGGTGCCTGGAGAGAGGATCCAACCCAGCTGTTGGCTCGTCCAGGAGCAAAACCTGCAGAGGGGATGAAATCAGGCATTCCTCATCGCTGGAGCAGCTGCACATCCCTTGGGTTTGGTGTCCTGGAAGCCTCAGGTCCCGCAGGCGAGACACCCAGGTCACCTTTCATGCAAGGGTGGCTGTCCTGGGAGCTGTATGAGGTCAGGGAACTCTCTGTCTGCTTCAAAACTGCACTAAGCAGGGTGAGTTGTGAATTTAAAAAAAATAAATCATTAAATTTGTTAATTTTAATAACTTTTAGCCAAATACATGGGCAAGGTTTTAGTAGTGTTGGACCTGAATATTCCCTCTATTACAGAGCCGTGCCTTCTGCTTTACCTGGGGGTTTCCAAGCATGGCTATTCCAATGGATAACTTCCTTTTCTGCCCACCACTGAGTTTCTCAGCTTGAGTGTCTTGAATGTTACTGATATCCAGCAGTTCCAAAACATTTTGCACCTAGAACAGCACAAGGATGTCCATTCTCAGCAGCAGTTGTCCTTCCATCCTTTATTAGGGTAGATTTAAATTAGATATCAGGGAGAAATTCTTCCCTGGGAAGGTGCTGAGGCCCTGGCACAGGTTGCCCAGAGAAGCTGTGGATGCCCCATCCCAGGAAGTGTCCAAGGCCAGGTGGGATGAGGCTTTGAGCTTCAATTTCCAGAAGACACGACATCCAAGTGGATCCTTTGAGCTTCCCAGTGCTAAAGGAGCCTTTATGGAATTATGGGGTTTCCAACAGCCCCATGCTGCTGCTTTGCAGGGGAGCACACACTCACCTCTCTCTCCACCTCCTTGGGCTTGATGCCCTTGATTTCTGCAAAAGTTTTCAAGTTTTCCTTCACCGTCAAGACTTCGAACTGGGAGTTGAACTGGGGGCAAATGCCAATCATCTCCCTAATCTCCTCCCTGTCTCCTATTTTGGAGAGTTTGTAGTTGTATATGGTGGCAGAGCCTGTTTACAGGAATAAACAGGTGATGAGGTGGAATGAGCTGGTATTTACAGCTTTTGAGCTGAGGCCAGCCCATCCCACCATTTTCCATCTCACCTTCTGAGGGGAAGGTGAGCCCGCTGAGCACATTCAACAGCGTGGTCTTTCCAGCCCCACTGTGGCCAAGTAAGGCAGTGATCTGCCCCTCATAAATAGTTAAAGACAAACCTAGAATGGAAACAACATCAAGCTGGGAAGAAACGAGGTCTGACTTGCTTCCACTTATTGCCAAGGTCAAGAGAAGTCAAGAAGTACAAGAAGAAGTAAGAGACACTAATTAGCTAAAAGTGCATTAAGCAATGTAGGGTGAAGTTCTGCAAAACTTTAACTAATGGTTTAAGAAGTTGTTCTGAATTTAGCAGAAAAGACAGAAATACAACAATTAAACAAATCTTTCTTCCCTTTAGTCTTATTAAAGATGGAAGATTCTGTAAAATCTGAACAAAACGGTAATAAATCACATTAATTAATATTTGACATAAATTTCCAAGTAATGCAGGTGTTTTATTTCATTGACTGACTGAAATGTTTGTGCAAAACTGGGTTTTTTTCCCCTCATCTTTAACAGAAATCAATATCACAGCTTTCCTACCTCTTAAAGCTTCTGTCTTCTTGTCCTTCTTTTTATAGGCTTTTTTAATACTGTGGAGCCTAAAGAAAAGAAAGGAGGTTATTAATCTGGGATTTCTAGATGCATTTCCCTTTACATTTTTGTGGACCTTCAGTTAAAATGACAGAAATGGCACAAAAAATAATAAGAGATAGAGGGAAACAATGCTGAGATCCACAGGTTTGGCATCCTCTCTACTCAGGTGTGAGTGTCACTAACTGGCACCAATAATGGGGCACCAAGCCTTGCAAGGACAAGGCCAAACTCGTTGCAACAGATTTCCAGTGGGTTTTTGTCCTTAAAGAACATTTGAAGTCCGTAGCAAAAAAAAAAACAAACAAACAAACAAAACACAAACCAGTTATTTTTTATGAATTTATCTAAATTTCACCATTAGTGACTGGTCTGAATTACCTAATTATCTCATCTGCATTTTATCTCTAATTTTTTGTCTGTGGAACAAAGTGTTTTTACACAAACATGAGAGCTGCCTGGATAAGTCAGACCCAAGCTCTGGGAAGGCTCTGGGATCTGTGGGGTGTTAAACCCAAGTACCCAACTCAATAAGCATGAATAGCAGCTAATTCTCTCCTAACCTGATGGCCTCCTTCCCCCTGAATTCGGGGGGCACTGGCTCTACATCATCACCAAGGAGCTCCTCGGGGCTGGCTGTGGATCTGGGAGTGTCCCTGGTGGAGCCCCTCCTGCTCCTCATCCAGTAGGAAGGTTTCAGGCAGAAGAAAGGGGGGTCTGGAATGCCATATTTGCCTGCCAGGAAAGCAAAGAAGATAACCTGCCATTAACCAAAGCACCAGCCAAGACTAAACATTTAGGAGGTTCTAACAAGTGCTTGGCTGCCTCAAAACTGCTACTTTGTCCAGTTAAAAAGACCCCAGGTTTGGAGGGGGGAGGGTAGCAGAGACAAGAAGTTTGGCTTCAGGGGTTTGTTTAATGAATTCAATAATTTGTGTCATCACTTCAAGATGTTGTCCCACGTGTTATTACACTGTAATCTCATAAACAGTTCAACAGCAGCATAAATAGAAAGAAAAAACACTAAATAATGTGTTGTCTTTGATTCTGTGAGTTTTGCATTTGCCAGGGGCAGAACAGTCAAAAACCAAACCCTATTTTGGCTGACTCAGAGCAGCCCATCATTTCCTTGATATATCCCATGCAATCCACATAAATATAAAGTGTTAAGGAGAAAATAGGACCATAAGCATAAATCAGACCTACCTGGCAGAACTTTGTCGAAATACAGAGCCAACAGCATGTACAAGACTGAATCAAAGGCCAGCATAATGTAAGTTGAAAATAAAAAGTATGCTTCCTCCATAAGGTTGGAAAAAGAGAAACCCATTCCATATTTTTCCAAATGGAAAATCTGAGAGAAAAAAAGGACAAAGAAGAATAACTTTCAGGCTGGAAAATGATGCACATACCATCAAACAGTGGGTCCAATTGTCTTTGTTAACCTGGAAATCACCTGCAGTACTGATCAATTGTTCTTACTTTCTAGAGGGGAATAAATTTAAGGGGATAAATTTGCTCCGTGCAGAGATCTTAATGTTTTAATCCAGATTTTTCCAGAACAATCCAGAAACAGAAACAAATACCAGAGTTTTAGAAGAAATCATTCAAGAAATGTGATTTTGTCACCCTTGATGTGACAGAGTCACAATGAAAACGGTATAACTTTACATAGTGACTGATTTAACCATATGGTAAATTAGCAGCAAATTCAGTCTCCTTTTCTGCTGGTGCATAAATCTCCTCTCCCAGGCAGATGCTTTTTAATATTTATACCAGGAAATCAAATCTTAGACTGCTGGAGCCAGAAAACATCACTCAGAGCTATGGAGATACGACTGATGGAAAACTGGGCAGTTGCACAGAGTGGGGATGGAGGAAGGATGGCAGCAGCAGGAGTCCCCAGTTGTATTTGCACAGTGTCTGCTGCCAGGAAGAGTTGCAGCAGCGAGAGGGGAATGATGGGGCAGCCAAGAGATGATGTCCCTGATGTCCCCGAGCCGACTCCTGCCCGCCTGGGCCCAGCCCCGAGGATAATGGTGCTGTTGTGTGCAGGGATGGACTCCTCGGGGTCATGTGCAAGGGACAGAAGTGGACAACAGCAGATTTTTTGTGACCAGGGCCGTGTTGCCAGTGCGTTCATCTGCTTTTAAAACAGCGGGACGGGATGGGGGCACCGGAGCCCCTCTTTGCTGCCCAACAGCAGCTCAGGTCGCGGGGAGGTTTCAAAACAGGGCGTGGATAGGGGTGAAAATACCTGGAGATTTTGCAGCTGGACTTTTGAAATGAGGAGGTGCCTTCCCACGCCTTTCCCTGCCAGCAGGGGAAGGTTCAGCTGCAGAGGTGGGGCCCTTACCTGGGCAATGCCCGCGTTAAATGCGAAAGGGCAGAAGAGACCGAGAAACCACTTCAGTGGTTCAGGAACGTTCTCTATCAGCAATGCCAGGCTCAGGCATCCAAAGATGAAGGTGATGAGGAACCCCACGGAGCTGACAAGTTTGGAGGTCCTTAAGAGGGAGCAGAGGAGGAAAACCAGGTGGATCTGTAAGAACAGAGGTTTCCCTCAATCACTGAAGGAAATAAATATCTTTAAGGGCAGCGCATCCGTTTGCCAGGCAAAGAGATCTCTGGTGAGTTAATACAATACAATAAAGTCTTTCTTGGTGGGTTGATCTGAGTTTCAAATCAGGCTTTGTGTAGCCAACCCACTGCCTGTCAGACTTTCAGGCTGCAAATCAAATCACTGCTGCTGAGTCACAGGAGCCACTGAGCTGTTTCAGTCAGCAAGGCCGTGCAAAGCACTGTGCAAAAAGCTCTGGAGTAATAGCTCAGCACATCAACAAGGTGATAAATCATGTGGTGAGAAAATTTGGCTTTAAAGCCTGACTTACACATGCCAGGCCATAGAGGAAAAACAGCAGCAAGACCGCAGGGAAGCTGCTGATGTAAAAAGGGTTCCACAGCACGAGGGCCGTCAGCAGGCAGGAGAAGATCAACACATAGAGAGAATACAGCAGACTCCAGGAGAGCCTGGGGATGGAAAGGGGCTGTTATACTTCTGGTTAATTAAGAACTGTTGTTACAACTTCATCTGCCACGTCAGAACTGTTTTAAATTTAAATATTAATTTTATTTCCCATGGTCAACTCCTTTACATCCCAAGGCAGAACACAGAGCACGATCCACCTCAGGAGGAAATACCCACGGGAGAAGGGTACACCACTGCCATGCTCAACCCTCTGGTTTGTCCTTAGAGTGCTGGAGAAAACTTATGAACTCATTTAACTTATTACCTGACTGCACAAGTGCCCTGGAACAGACTGGTTTTTGGCAGACGTACTTTAGTTGCAAAAGAACTCACCAAAACGCAACATCCTGCAGCCCCATCGTCTTCATCAGCTCCTTGAGCTTCTTCTTTTCTCTTGTGACATTCATTGATAAGAAATACATGAAGGGAAAGAAACACATCACGATAGTGATCATGTAAAAGCTGTAATCGAGTGTAATTGAGAAGACGATGCTCCGGGACTTCATTCGGACTCCAGCAATTGAATTCATTTCTTCCCAAACAGAATGATTTGCTACCACCTATAGGAATTTAAGGTCAGCATGTCAGTATTTCATTTATTTTCTACAGTGAGGTGTATTTATATAAGGAACCTTCTGATTCATCCCCTCCAGATCAACTTTTTGAGGCAGTTTTTTTTTCCGACAAACCCATCCCTTGCTATTCCCACAGTGCAATTTGCCTTTCCTGTGTCAAGTTCAAAATGAAAGGATGTTCCTACATCAGATCTCAGGTTGGATTTACCTCTATGATAGCAGCATCAATGCTGGACTGCAGGGACAGAAAGCCTCTGTACCAGTACCTGGGGCTGTCACAGTTCCCCGACGAGAAATTGTAACAGCTGTCTGCAAGGTTAAGGGCATCACAGGTAAGAGCAGTGAGAGGGAGTTGATTTTCACTACAAAAGGGGATGAAAATAATACATTTGCACTATGGGAAACTCTTCAAATGGGCAGTGACATACAGACAAAAAAAAAAAAAACACAAACAAACAAAACCCCCCAGTTTATTAAATCACTGAACATATATGGATTATTCTGACAAAATGATGCCTGTCCATGCCAGGCAATGACCCACCCAAGAATTCTCATTTTGTATTACCTATGTGTCCAAAGACTTCATTTGGAATAATCATTTTTGTAGTAGGAAACCTGAGGTGATAGGAGAAGTTGTCCTTAAATACAACCCCTATAATTGCATTATTTGAAATCCAGGCTTTTTCCAGGGCGTTCTCACTGTCCAGTGCCTCCAGTTTTATACCTGTGGTGTGTAAGAATAACATTGCAATGAGTTTCTGTAAATCTGGAAACGTGTCCACGGGCACTGGGGGTACGTTCTGCTTTTTCAGCATTTCAGCTCCTCTTTTTCCAGTTCTCATTGAGATATTTACCTTAAAATATTTTGTGCTTTACCAGTTAAGAAATGCAACTCAAAGGAATGAACCAAAATGTCTTAAAAGAATGAGGGAATATCAGGTAAGGCAGAGCTTTACAGTTCAGAAGAACACACTGGCCTCACCAGTAATTTAAATACTAGAGAAGGGATATTTGTGAAAATAGAGGATTTAGGGTGAATTTTCTCTCCTGACCAGAGATTCTGGGGAGCCACCAAAGCACAATGTATGCGCAAGAGGCGAAATAATGACAAAACTCAACGTTTAAAAAGCAAAAAACCTACCCCTCATGACAGATTTGGAGGCCACTTTATTCATTATCTGCCTGGTGGTGGCAGTGGTGGGTGTGAAAGCCACGGTGACCCCGGTGGCATTATAGGCAGGATCATCCAACTGCCCGAGGTGGCTGAAGGGCACTTCGGGGAACTCGATGTTGATCATACAGTAGGACACAATGAGCAGCAAGGGCAGGAAGAGCAGGGACAGCATCCACTCCTGTGGCATGGGGGAGAGCAGGGAGGAGAATTTAATAACATATGAAATACAGCAGGGTAGGAGCATATTCTTTGTGGGATTAAAATAGACACTTAGGCACTCCGATTCCTGAGATGTTGAAACTCTCTGCATTGTGCCCATCAGGCACCTCAGGAAATTACTCTGCTCAAAGGGCCCAACTGGAGCTCTCACATGGCACAAAACAGGCATAAAAATCATCAGTTAAAAAAATTAAAGTCTCAAAGTGTTCACTACCAGTCAGGTTTTAAAAAGGTACTTCAGGTTTTACCCAAAGAAGTTGGTGTCCAGGGGCAGGCAGGAATTGGGCACTCTCACAGTGCTTAGCTGTTCTTTTTTTAATTATTATTTTTAATTTTTTTTCTTACCTGAAAGCTCTGCATCTTCATCCTCCACTTGAGAAGGACATTTTTCCACAAGAGAATTTTCGTTTGCTGGAATACACTCATCTTTCTCTGCAGTGTCTTCATCTCTGAACCTACTGACAATATTTTTTAAAAAGTTACTTTCTAAAACAGCAGAGACTGCTTTTATTTGCACAGTCCTGGCAGATGTGCCCAGTGACACTTTCTTTCCCTTTTTACAGCAAAAATGAGAGCTGAAGCATCTCAGCTGTTGTGTGCTGAGCACAAGCCACCCCCGCAGCACAGGGTCCAGGAGACCTCATCACCCTCAGCACACTCCAGCCCTCCCAGCTCAGCAGCAAACACTGATTTATAACCAGAATTCCGTGCTGTGGCATGGTGAGTTTTGGGAGGAGTTATTTAAGACATAAATAAAGGGAATATCATGCTACATGACCCTAATTGGCTTGGGTGGGCTTCATATCCAAGGAATGACAACAACACAGTCAATTAAAGTCACTAAAACCCCTTGCATGTAATTTTAATCTGCTACAGGCTCAGCACCAAGAAGGGTTGAGTAACTCCTGGCTGTGGTGTGAGCTGAGCTCATTTGGAAAACAGCGTCAGTCGAAGGCAACTCGGAGCCACCAGAGAACAAATTCTTGGAAGTGAGCTGGGAGAGAGATGTCAGGGCTGGGATATTAATGAAAAGGGAGACAAAAACAGGTATCTGTGAGCATGCATCTGTGTGCTGCTCCAAAAGGTGTGGCAGCACCCTTAAAAAGACCTGATTTAAAAAAAAAAAAAAAAAAAAAAAAAAAGGAATTTTTGCCTGGATTAGTGCTGGAAGCTGCAATGAGAAGGCATAAAGCTGGGCGTCAGACTGCTTTGCAGATGGGATATGTGCACATTAGCCGTGAGTAAAATATTTATTAGTGCCTTTAATGAGAGAAAGGATTAAGTACCCCTGTGTGAAACAGCTCCACTCACACAGCCAAAGCACTCTGCTGTCACATCTATAGCTAAAACCTGCTTTCCAACAAGATCCTTGCCTTCTGCAAGTGATTCTCAGGTAGAAAGACCAGAGCAGTTTATAGATCTAATCCTTTCAAGCCTCCCTGTCACACTGAAGGGAGATTTGTGTTCTCCTGTTCCCCTGGGGGATGATGCCTCGCTGTGCTGACAGGCAAGAGGGAGTTTATCATCTTCTTCCAAATATTTACATTCAGCCCCTGGGAGAGGAACATCCCCGAGTAATGACACAGCAGGCACTGAAATGCTGGAAAAAGCAGCTGCAACAAATGGCCTTCCCAGGGCACACACTGCAAACAAACACTTGCACTGGCACAGCAGGACAGGGCACGGGCACGGCTCAGGGGAAGGAATCTGCTCCTTTGCCAGTATCTCTGGATAGATTTGTTTTCTTGCACATGATCTCACTTTATAAATCCAGATGTATAAAGATTTGAATTTAGCCTGTGTTAGTAACTTCTAGACTTCCTTGGGGAAACCAAAGTAAAACTTGAAATTGTGTGGTCACTTTGCACACCCAGCAGAAGGGAGGTGCTGGATGCTCTGTATCACCTGCGTGCATTTCCACCCTGGCAAGGGCTTTGTGTCACAGCTAAAGCAGATTTCCAGTTTGCCCTCTGTTCTGATACTCACATGGAGTAACCTCGACAAGCTGACACACCCAGGAGATCCTGGGTGGGATGGAGAGCTGGCACACCAGGCTCCCATCACGGATATCCCACGTGTCACCCCTCAGTGCTGTCTGACCCCACTGCTGCAGGGTTTGGGGAAATGAGGTAGGAGTGATTTCTCTGCTCCTGCAGTATTTCAGGGGGAATTTTTAAGAGTATAAGATGGACAGGGCTTTTAAAATTCAACCTTTAGCTTACACTGCATGTAGGGAAAGAAATCTGCTCCTTGTATGTGCTGGATTAAAGTGCTGAGCTGAACCTGCAGCATCCTCTTAGTTCCAAGAAACACTGGAAATAAAACTCTGCCGTACACTGAGCTCCATTTGTGTGTTATTTCATCTCAAAGTAAGGCTAAAAACATTCTATTGCCTTTAAACAGCCTCTAAACCTAATCACAAACTTAACTCAGCCTGTTAGAAAGATGCCCCACCTATACATTTGTATCCTTTCCCAGTATTATTAACAGGATCATAATTTACTGGATGTTTTCATACCTTTAAAATAACTTTTTTTTTTTTTTTTTTTCATTTGCTTTAGGAAGAATGCTTAAGTCTTACCTTAAGGGGAAGGTTTGGAAGGGATCCAGAGCTTGTCCTTCACCGTGTGCCTGTGCAAGTGGAGATGCTGAGGCTCCCTGGGATGGACTGGCGGCTCTCAGTGCTCCTTTGTCCACACAATCCCTTTCTCACTCAGGCACTTCTGCAAAAGGCATTCCTCACACCATCACTTCTCTCTTCCCTGGCTTTCTTCCCTCTTCCTCCTTGGCAGAGCTTCAGCTTTATCTGTATTATAAAAAGCAAACAGAGCACTTTGCTGTCGAGTCGCTGGAGCGGATTCTCTGAAAAGTTGTCCGGGAAATTCTTGAGCCTTGGCCAAGGGAAGGAAAACAAGCCCAACAACAAACCACACAAAAATCCTTTCTCTGGCAAGCTCCATTGTGTTTCTCAGCGCAGCAAGAGAGGCTGAAGTCAATGATATCACGGCACATGCGGGGGGTGGGGGGCAAACAGTGGCTCTCCCTCCTCTCCAAATGGCAAAGGTTGTGTCGGAAAACTGCTCCAGTGCCACCATCCCCTGGCGCAGGAGGAGCAGTGAAGCGCTGCCTCCGGGATAGCAACAGCTCTTCTGATTAAAAAACACGTTGTAAACATTGAAACAAACTTCTCTTGGCTGACTCTGAGCTTCTAAAGGGGGTGGGTTTGATTCCATCCCCAGGCTGTGGAGCTCGGTCACCCACCGCAGCATCCCCGGCAGCAGCACGGCTGAGGGACCCGTGGTGGGAGGGAGCACGACCAGCTGGGGCAGAGGCTGGGCTTGGAAGTGTGCAGGAGCTGGATTTGCTTCCCTGTGCTCTGCCTGGTGGGAAAAAAAACAATCCCTAAGATTTAAATAACACTCGGATGTTTCAGAGCGAGGCAAAGTGCAGGGGTGCAGAAAGTCAGGGCACAGCGTGAGGTTAAAACCTGTCCCCAGTACATCTCCTGCATGTCCAAACCCTTTCAAAGGGAAAAAAACCCCAACCCTGAGGTGGCTATGCCAGTTCCCAATCGGTGAACCACAAGCAAAGACACCTCCCTGCCCAGCTCCTTGACAGGGCACTGATGTTTGGAGATCCACGTGGAAAGCAGCTTCCTGGGGGTGTGAGTGCTGCCTTGGGGATTTTTCCTGGTGGCAACAGCCCAACTCTGAGCCACGGCAGCCACCTGCTGGTACCTGCTTGCCCACATCCCTGCCTGCAGTGCCTGGACATGCATCTCTGCCTGCCAGAACCACCTGCATTCTCCTTGCCTGTGTCCCACTCCTGCATCATCCATACCTGTAGCACCAGCATCATCCACAGGAGGCAGGGGAAGGGTGAAGGTCCTGCTGCTCTGTCCCTCCCATGGGATGGCACTGCCCCTGTGGGACTTCTCCAGTGGGTCCCCAGCCCACCTTTCCCTGAGGCTGAGGATGCTGGGGGACAGGACAACAGGGCACCAGGAGAAACACCTGGAGGTAGGGAGTTGCTATTTTATTTAGATTTTTTTTTAAATTTATTCTTTAAAGCCAGCCCTGGCAGGCAGGTGTTTAAAAGGAGGTGCTGATCTGCTCAGACAGGGTCAGGGTGCTGGTGGCTTGTCCCCATGTCCCCCACCAGTTCCCCCAGGGCTGGGTGCTGTCAAGAAGCCCACCCTGTCTTTTCAATGACCAAAGCAAGGTTCAGCCTGCTGTCCTCCTGCACTGTTACTTTGGGTTGAAGCACATCTCATTTTGAGTCTAGATAATCACTGGGGTTTTACAGGTGGTGATACAAGAGCTGCCAGTTTTCTTTACACTTTTCCAGGCACCGCTGAGTCCTTCCAAGTCTCTGGAAGGACCAGTGAGGGGTCAAGGTGACCTGAGCTGGAACACACAGCAGATTTTTAGGTCAAAACACAGAAGACACATATCCCTCCACCAGAAATCACCACCTCCATGGCCACATTACAGCACCCAGTGTCCTCCTGCCATGGATGAGTGAGGTGTCAGAGCCTCCTCTGAGTTTGAGCAAGCCCTCCCACACAGCCACAGTCTCCCTCGCTGCCTGGGGACCAGCAACTCATCCCAACAGGGTTATTCCTCAGCACAACGAACAAGGCAGTCTGAGCAGGGGTACAGATGAACAGCAGGCATCAATTTGTCAAAGGATAAAGGCTTTATTTATTAAAATAGTAATTCTTCTTCTCTTTGTGAGGCAGAACACCTGCAGAGCTGGATGTGTTGTGGCAATGAGTAACCAAGTTCTGGGGCTGCAGCTGATCACAGGGGTCAGCAACACTGATGAAAATATGCTGAATATTTTCACTGTGGGTCCAAGAGTCAGGGCTGAAGGGGTCTCTGCTCCACAGCCCCGTTGGATGCTGCATCCAGGTCGTGCTCCTCTGCATCCCTGGTGATGTCTATAAAGACCTGCAACGTGGCACAGAGGAAACAACCCCATCATTGCCAAGGACTGACAGTTTTTGTGCTGGTCATGGGTTATTTCTTCCTTTTATGCAGGCAGTTTCTAACCTGGGACTCCCACACCAACATACCTGTTGCAAAGTGTTCAGTGACAGGCTGTACTCCTCAAGCCTGAAATTCTGTTTAACTGCAGGGGGGTGGAGAAAGAATCCTTAAAACCCAAATCCAGATAAACAACTTGAAAGCCATCTCCTTACTCAATTGATTGTTTCCTTTTACCTGCTTCTAGCTTGGAGAAAGACCGGGACAGGGGCAGCGCATCTGCCATTGGTATCTTGTAGATGAGCAAGGAAGAGGTCCTGAAAAGGCAATTAAAACAAATTAATTCATAATTTTGTGACTCAGCATCAAAGTTTGGGTAAATTACTGAGCAAGGTCAGTGGGAGCAACAGAGAATCCCAGCACAAATCCAGGCTGGTGTGAAGCCCACAGGCCACTCACCTTTCTTGCCGAGCCGCGCAGGGGAACAGGTTCAGGATTTCGGCGTGGAGAGCATCACTTTTCTCCAGGTCTGACATCTTGATTTCTAGGTGGTAACTTGTGCCAAACTTACTTTTGAGGTCCTCGGGGGAACCGATGTACCTGCAGAGGAGGGCACAATCCACAATCCAAATCAGTATTTTCTCTTAGATTAGGAAGGATAAAAAACAAACAAACAAAAACAAACAAACAAACAAACAAAAAAACACCACAGGAAAGACAAACAAGCCACCCAGCTGAAAACCAGGTGTCATCCTGGTGCTGGGTGTGACCCAATGCCCACCGTAGGCGCCCCGACACCAGGATGGCCACGCGGTCACACATCGCCGCCGCCTCCAGGGACTGCGTGCTCAGGATGGCTGCTCGTTCCTTGCTTTTCATGGAGGCCTGGATCAGCTTCCTGGGGACAGAGGGATCACAGTTACTTCCCAGGAACAGCCAGAGAAAACCTGGTTTATGTCTCCCTTCCTAAAAGCAGCTGAAATGGGAAAGTTATTACAAAGTGGAGGACTATTTGAAAGACTTCTGTTATCTCGCTTGAAGGTGATGTGGATGCCGATTTCAATGTTCCAGTTTGTCATGGTAGCATCCCCCCAAATTTTACACTAAAGCAATCACGAGGGCTGAATGACTAAAGGAAGAACTACCTATAATTTTTTCTTTTTCTCTGAAGAAAACAGGCATTTAGGCCTTTTTGTCACGCTCACCACATGCGGCGCTGCCCTTTCGGGTCCATTCCCACGGATGGCTCATCCCAAAGCATCACTGCCGGATCCCCCAGGATGCTCAGAGCAAAGCACACCTGAAATGGGAACAACCAGGAGGTCAGGGCTGCTTTACTTTACCTGCAAAACTGGTGAGTTGTCCTGATATATCTTAATCCCCGTCAATCTTTTCGAAGCTGAAGCTCTTGATTCCAAAACGCAGGAGGAACAGGGATTAAAAAAAAAAAAAAAAAAAAAACAACACCACAGCAGGTGTTCTCAGTTAACATTTTAATCTCTCAAAATCAGATTTCCCCAAAACTCCTAAGCCTGCCAAAGATGAGAAAGTGCTTTTCCATCCCATTTACTGGCAGATGCACGTGGTGGGGCATGAAGAGGTGATTACCTTGTAAATCCAATTTGTGGTTAGCTCTTATTAAACCCACAGTGTGGGAGAGAGGGGGAAAGAGGAGGGAGGAACCTGCCAGGCTTGAGTCCAAAGCTATTGATGAAAATAAATGATGGCAGGAACCCACTCAGCTGAAGGTTTTCTGTCCAAGGAAGAGCAAGCAGGGTTTGCTCAGGCAGCAAAGATGAAGGTAACACGTACCTTTCTGGCTTCTCCAGCAGACAACCTCCTGGCTGGGGTCTTGAAATGCTTCAGGAGGTCCAAGGCCTTGCCTATGCTGTGGGCAATGGAAAGGGAAAATGCCAAAATGACCATCTTGGTGTGCAAACACTGTGGTCAGGGGAGCTGAGGAACCAGATATGCTTGGCTACACATATCACCTTGGGTTACTTGGTGATTTTACTCTTAACTTGGATGGTAAATTAAGGAATTTTTGCAGGAATTGAAGGCATTAAGTGCAGTTAATGAAAGAAATGAGTTCCTCATATAACTGGCCATGAACTGGGGGAAGTTTAATTTTCTCCTGAAGTTTTCTAGATAAACTTGGGCTAAAATCTTCCTTGACAAGAGACTGAGAACAGCATGAAGTAGCAGGTCTTATTAAGAGATCCCATTTCTCCAAAGTAAAGAGGCATTGAAGGCTCTGTCTCTGAGTCACAGAATATGCTGAGTTGGAAGGGACCCACAAGAACCATTGAGTCCCCCTCCTGACCCTGCACAGGACCATCCCCAAGACTCACCCCAAATGCTCCTTGAGCTCTGTCAGGCTTGGTGCTGTGACCACCAAGCAGGTTTGTTACCAGGAAAAACCTTCCCCTGCCCTATAGAATCGTAGAGTGGCTTGGGCTGGGAAGGACCCTGCCTCTGGAGGGGGGAAGACCACAAAGCTGAGGTCATTTGGCTTCATACCAGCTGATGGTAAGAGCTGCATCTTCTTTCCTCATCCCTCTCACGGCAGCAAATGCCTCCAGGTGCTGGAGCACCGTCAGGTCTGGCCAGAGCGGGTCCTGCTGAGGGCAACAGCCCAGGCAGCCCAGGCTGCCCTGCCCTGGGGACAGGGAGGCTACATCGTGGTCCCTGAGCAGCACCTGCACAAACACACAAACACACACAGAGCTGGGGGTGTGGCAGCCACAGAATCACAGAATGGTTTGGGTTGGAAGAGACCTTAAAGCTCATCTCATTCCAACCCCCTGCCACGGGCAGGGACACCTTCCACTAGCCCAGGTTGCTCCAAGCCCTGGCCAAGTCAAACAGTAGCCAGATGAGCAGCCAGCAGACACTGGTGAGTGGTCACCCTGTGGCTGCCCAGAAAGCTTCATGGATGGGGTGATCTTGCTCCATCTGCCTTTTCACTGCCATGAAACTTTGGCAATAGTGCCAACATGAGACTCCCTTTTCCTAGTAATGCTTTTCTGTTTCCAACATTCAGTCCCAAATCTGTAACTGCAATGGCATTTCCCCTCCCCCAGCACATGCCATTAATCATTCTGCACATAATTAATTGATGGATTGTCACTGGCCCAACACTGTCCACATTCGTTTTCAATTTCCTGCTTTTGCAAGGCTGTTTATGGAGAGTGTTATTTTTGTTTTGGTTTGGTTTTTTTTTTATATGGGAACATTTCCTGCAGGGCTTGGGAGATTTCACAATGGGTTTCCAATGCTCCCCAAGATTTTCTCTAGCTCAGATCCTTAAATCTGCAACATTGACTTTGATGGAAACCAGAATGTGCTTGAAGTAAATCAACACTTTCCCCTCACTTCTGTAAATATCCAGAGTATATAAATTGTACATAAATGTCCATAAATTCCTTGACTGAAGGGCTGTGTTGCTGACTTGCCTTATCACACCCTTAAATTTATAAAGGCATCAAGGTCACCTCCAGAGGAACCACCTACCTCCCCAGCAGTCACTGTTACTTCTCCAGAAATCATGTTGATAGTTGTGCTTTTTCCAGCTCCACTGGGTCCTAACAGACCTAATACTTCTCCTAAAACAAATATGCAAGAACTGTTAATATTAATTACTATTAATAAGACCTTCTTCCATCTGTGCTGGGCAATATCTAAATGTACAGTAGGGGAAGGGATTGTTCATTAACTTATCCCCCCATGAATTAAAGCTTGGAGTGCAGGAGATGTTGAGTCTGGTTGTCCATGAGAAAATTCATACAAAAATATTTCTCCAAACGTGACCTTCACTTTAGATTTTAGTCATTTCTGTTACAGGGAGTGCAGCCAAATACTTGAACCTTTTTTAACACTAAAAGAGAGGTTTTTGACAGCAAGTTTCTTCTGTTTCTTGAAGATGGAAGTGGCTTTCTTGACTTCATATTCCTTGCGCAAACTGTTGACAACGACGGCGGACTCCTGTGAAGAGATGGAGAGGGAAATAAAAACTCTCCTCCTGTCCCATGGGACAGCTGGGCTGTTCTTACCATTAAGTGTGACTCTCTAAAAAGAGAAGATTTCTCAAATAAAAATCCAGGAAAGAGAGCAACAGGAAAAAAAATAATTAAAAAAAAGAAAATAAGCAGAATGGGAATAAAAATAATAGCGTCAGCTAAACTCCTTCTGGTGCCAGGATGACCACGGGCTGGGTGGTGAGATCGGGTCAGGACATACGAGTGAACGAGCTCAGGAAGCAGAGATGAAGGTAAAGTGGCTAAGAAAGCAACCTGAAGATGGAGAATGAAAAGGGAAAGGAGGGAGAGGGTTGGACTCACCCCCTCCTGCTGCAGGGAGACCATCGCGCTCCGCACCCGCTCCCTCTCCGCCTGCACCTCTGGGGGCTCCTCCCCAGGGTGGTCCCTGTTCTGGTGGGCGACCACTCTCCTCTGCTGGATCCTACAAGTGGAGGAGGAGAGGTGGCATCACTGGGAGTCACCTCCAAAAAGGCTCCAAGTGTTTCCAAGTTTGCTCCCGGGGCAGCACCGACGCAGCCACTGCAAAATTCATTTGAACTCAGGGGGCCCGTAAAATATCCTGAGCTGGAAGGGAATTCACAGGGATCATTGGGCTGTTCCACTGACAGTGTTTGCTCAAACATTTATTTGTGGGGGAGAAAATAAACCCCACTGGCATCCTTGAGAAAATAAGGGCCAAGTTTAGCTTTTCCTTCATCCGTAACCATTCACTGGTTCCTGCTTCACACACACCAGTGATCTGTTCAAGGAGGATTAAAATACACACAGCAGGTTTTCAAAGCGATTTGGGCATCTAACCCAGAGCCACAAAATCACAGAATATTCTGAGTTGGAAGGGATCCACAAGGACCATCAGGTCCAACTCAACCCAGCTGAGTCACATTTGTTAACGCTTGAAAAATCCAGTATTTTCTACAAATCTTCTCCCACATGACTTAGGTGGTCAGTCTCTAGCTGTTGGTGACAGAGAAGAAGAAGAGCAGGTAGCAGTTGACCAGCCTGATGAAGCTTTAGGGGAAGTCTCCATCCTACCAGGAGCAATACTGACATGTTTGAAAAGGAGTTAAAATGCTGTGTTTTGATTTGTAACTATAAGTTTTCCAGCTGCAGTGAAATGTCCTGAAATGTCAGCTATGAAGCTTATTTAAAAAAAAAGCTTAAATCACATTTTTATCCTCTCAAGGACACTGTAGTTCAACTGATCTTCTGTTGCAACACACTGGGTGGGAGTTTGCCACCAGACACATTCAGGGAATCTCCAGTAAGTTAAGTTGTAAACTGCAATGACCCAAAAGAATTAAAAATCCCTCCCACTTGTCTTTCGTTTCCTTCCCTTCAGATAAACTGGTTAAAACTAAAAAAGCACAACGTTTATCCACTTTTTGCAAATTTTTTTTAAGTTCCCCCTCTCCTCCTCCTGCTGTCAGGGGTGAGCCAGGAGCAGCACCAAGCCCACCCTGCAGACTGGGGTAATTCTGGCTCACGAGGAACCCCTGGGACACACCTGAAGACGGGATCAAATCTCGCAACTCCTTCTCCATATCTCATCTCCAAAAAGCGCAGGAGGAGAGCAAAAATCACACTGTGGAGGTATGGCTAAAAAAACCAGAAATTAATTAGGTTTGTATGGAGACAAGGTAACAACACACTTGATAAATATTAATTATAGGGGGATGCAGGAACCTCTCTCATTTATTTCAGCTAAAAGGTTTAAAAGGGGAAGAAATTAAGTTGATGCTTCCCATACATGTTCATCTGACATGCAGACCTTTTGCAAAAGCCCTGAATTCCTTCAGCAGCTTTAGCCCAGAAAATCTGCACCTTAACAGATCCTACAGGATCGAGGATCACATCATTCTGTTGTAGAAGCAGCATTCAACTGATCAGTTGATTAATAATATCTCTCCCTTATACATGAGCTCCACTTCACACCCCCCTTCCCTCCCCAGTTTTTATGCACAGATGGTGCAGCATCCAGGGGCCACACGAGGCACAAGCCCACGATTCCTTGGATGTGCCTCCCCTGCCAACCCTTAAAGTGAAACTTTGACCACATAACCCGTGGTTTATTTATGGGGAGAGTTGTACAAGCCCAGTGCCAGTCCCCTGCATCACAACAGCCACCCTTTCCAAAGCAACCATCTTCCAGTTGTTCCTTACCACGAAGACAGACATGTAGATGTGATTCCAGGAGTGAAGAAGTTCGTCGCTGCTAAAAGCTGTGAAGTGCTACAAGAAGAGAATGTCAGTGAATTAGGAAAATTCCTTAGCACGGTGTGTGTGAGTGTAGAGTTGGAGCAAGTGTGGGAGGTTTGCTTAGCTTTTCTTCAGGATGGGATAAAGCAGCTTTGAGCTGCACTTTGGTTTGGCTTCACGCTGCCTCAAAGGGTTGTGGCTTCCTTGGCCACAGTAATTCAGAGGGGCCTCACATCAGAGCAGGTTAGATTGACCTTTCCCATCATTGCTTCTCTCTTCCCAGTTCTTTTACCTCCTGCCAGCTTCACTTCCTCCCTCCAGGTCTTCCCGCTCCACCTCCTTCCCCTCCCGTGCTACCAAAATACAGCCATTGTAACAGCCCTTGGTGACTAAACAAACCAAAAATATCCCCATCAAACAAAGGATTAACAACTCAAATCTTGGCTCCTTCTCTCACTCCCCTGCCCGGACCTTTTTTTCTCCTGCTGTCTTTCCTCACTCTCTCTTTTGGGCACTTCGAGACAGGGAACTTGGAAAGTGCCTCTTGCTTTGCCAGTTTACACCATCAGGACCGTCATGGAATTCAGCAGGGTGTGCTTTACTTACTGGTGCAGAGAACATCATCCAGCCCAGGGGTGGAAACACAGGAATCAAAGTACAGGTGTAGTAAAGCGGTTCATCGTAGCCACTGATTATATAGATGGCATAATTCACCTGGAATAATGCAGGAAAAAGGATTTCCAGTATCAATGCATTGTTGCTAAAAAACAGGCTCTTTGTCACTGATTTGGGTTATTCTGCTGCATGGTGATATGCCTGAAATGAAGCCTCGAGTGGCAAGACGTGTAAACCAAGCATTTCAGAGTGAAGCCGCTCTTGACTTACCAGAATGAAGATTAAAGACCAAACATAACGATTGCTTCGGCCCCTGCGAAGCTTGAAGGCAATTAAATAGGTGAGGAGGACGAGAGATACCCCATAGCCAACGATGCAAACGATCTAGGGAGAGAGAGAGAGAAACATCAGTGACAAGGAGGAGGATGAGGGCATGTGGGACCTGCCTGGAGCAGGTCAATAATCAAATCATTAAAGCACAAGCTCGCTTCCTGCACGCAAAGAGCTCACCAGGAGCAGGATGGTGCCGGTCTGCAAGGGGAAGGTGCGGCTGGAGGCCACCAAAAGCCCGAACATGAGGCACATCAGGGCCCAGAAGAGCGGGACGTCCACCAGGGCCTGCCCACACCAGTATGCCGAGGGGAAGAGCCCCGAGAGCCGCAGCTGGGAGCGAGCCTGGAGCTGCAAGTGGGAACAGGGAGTTAGAGGAGTCCAGAACACCATTCCTGCTCCTTCTCCTTCTCAATTCCCTTGCTCCTCCCTTCCCTGGCTGAGCCTTCCCCTCCTTCCCAAGCACTTGCAATTCTTAGTTCTACTATTGTTTAAAACCACATTATTCCTAAAAAGAAGAAAAAATAATAATTAAATCATTCTGATCTCAAAATCTTTATTAACGTGCAAGTTATTCTGAGCCCCAGCTGATTCCCTGGGATGCAGGGAAATGCACTTTGGTACAACACTGTGCTTGTGTGGTTGTATTTCTTTTATCATCCTACCTAGAAATCGTAGAATCACAGAAGGGTTTGGGTTGAAGGGGATCTTAAAGCCCATCTCGTTTCACCCCCTGACATGAGCAGGGTCACCTTCCACTAGACCAGGTTGCTCCAAGCCCCATCTAACCTGGCCTTGGACACTTCCAGGGATGGGGCAGCCACAGCTTTTCTGGGCAACCTGTGCTATGGCATCACCACTGGTAACTGGTCTCCAGAGATACTGAATTTATGTTCACTTCTTGTGTAAGACCATCTGCAGTTCGGGCTCTTTACCTTGTAATCCTCCATGCTGCTCACTGCCAAGAGGGGAGGCAAACCAGCAGCCAAAATCAGCAGGTAGCTGAGACAGTGGAAAAAAATATAGTTCTTTAAATCTGGGCCTTGTACCTGTGGAGAGAAATTCAGAGTCACCCAAAATCAAGAGCTATCCAGAGAAAATCTGGCTCGTAGGATGGCTGAACATGCAAGTGAGCAAGAGCACTAATGGTAAACCATTTGTAGGTAAGAACATAAAACGAGGCAAATAAAAAAAAAAAAGGTATTTGGCATCTTTGAATTTTCAAAAAGTATTTGAATAACTAAATTGCTGAGGAAAGAGGCCAGCTTTTTGATGCTGATTCCTGCAAAATGGATGTTGGAGAAAGGTGAGGTTTGCAAGCATCACTGTTGTATTCTGACCATATTCATCATCATAGAATGGGTTGGAAGGGACCTTAGAGCTCATCACAGTCCACCCCCTGCCATGGGCAGGGACACCCTCCACTAGCCCAGGTTGCTCCAAGCCCCGTCCAACCTGGCCTTGGACACTTCCAGGGATGGGGCAGCCACAGCTCCTCTGGGCAACCTGTGCCAGTGTCCCACCACCCTCACAGCGAAGAATTTCTTCCTAATATCTATTCTGAACCTAATCTCTGCCAGTTTGAAGCCAATCCCCCTTGTTCTGTCGCTCCAGGCTCTTGTAAATAGTCTCTCTCCATCTTCCTTGCAGGTTCCCTTCCGGTACTGGAAGGCCACGGCAGTGAAAACCCCACGGAGCTCTCAAACACAGCAGAAGGAACCGTCACTAAACACCCCCAGCAGTCAGACCACTGGCCCCAAAACCTTGGAACTTGCTCCCCCAGGAAGGTTTCCCAACCTGCACAGTCCTCATCTCTTCAGCATTCCAGCTAGTTTTCACCTGGAAAGGCAGGACACTCACCCTGGAAAAGAGCTCGCTCCAGAGGCGGATGCGCGCGGAGCAGTTGAAGAGCCTCAGGAGGCTGTTGCTGATGATGTTCACCAGCACAGGGTAGCAGTTGACGGGTTCTGCACTGCACATGACCGTGAACCGGTAGCTCTGAGGATGTGAGAGCAAAAGCTGTCACCTTCGCGCCCTCGAGAAGCGTGAGCAGCACTTGAATAACATTAAATGTTATTTAATAGGTAAAAAAAAAAAAAATCCTCCCTTTTCTGGCGTGTTTATTTCTCTGTACCTCGTTTAAATACTTTTCAGAGGATCCTGTTGGTGTACAGGATGAAAGAATAAAAAAAAAAACAACCCCTCACCTTGCCTTCCAGGGATACTTTTATAGCTCCATTATAATGTGGAAGGCTTGTGATGTTCTTCTCAGGAGTTATTTCTGGGGTTATGTTTTGAGCCTTCAAAGCAGCAATGAAATCCTCTATTTCCGAGCCTGAAATCAAGTTCAAGAACAGAAATCAGAGTACTTAGAGAGGGTTTTTTACTTTAAATATAAACAGTTTCATACAAACTAGTTCCTACTTGCAAAGCAAAGGATGTTAAAAAAAAAAACCCAAACACTGCGATTCTAAGCAAACATGTATTTGCTATATTTTTTTTTCTATTTTAATTAAACTGGTTAAACACAATGTGTGTTTCCATTCTTAGCTTATTTATTGCCTTTTTTTTTTAAATTTTATTTTGCCTGGTTCATTACTCTTTCACATATCATCTACTCAGTTACCATCACTAAAAATGGATTTGCTTTTTGCTCAAAAAAACCCACCTCCCAAAGCCCACAGATATATAAAGGAATGTACAGAGTAAGGCAAGGTTGGTCTGTCAACTATAAAAAGATTCAGGTTGGTGCAGAAAGTGAGTCAGCATCACATGTTCTTCCTCACCTGTGTCATTGAGGATGAGAAGGTTTGAGGACTTATTTTGAATTTTCTCCTTAGTGGGAAGAAAATATGGACTAGCTGTGATTTCCCAGCTACTGGAGCTGTGCCACAGTTGAAGGAGAATTAAAATCATCATCAGTGGAAGCATGAATGTTCCAAACAACAACAATCTAGGTGGAAAAACAGACCACGAGTGAGTCCAGGGGAACTCCAACTTAACAGATACTGTGATTTGTGGGGAAACTGAAGCAATTCCGAGCTCTGCCAGTAAGTTCAGGTTGCCCTTATTACCGCAGCTTTTAAACATTTTCCACCTGATCCTGTGCTTCCAAACATCTCCAGCACCACTGAAGTCACTCCAGGGAATGATCAAATCCCTTGGAAAGCACTGAGCCAGCACAGGGGCTGCAGGGCAGGTGAGAGCTCCTGTACTTACACGGCCCTGAGGAACTTCCCGTCGTGCCGCAGTTTCAGGAGGCGAACTCTCATCACAGCACGCACTTGCTGCCTCCAGAGCCCCATCCCACTCCCTGCCAGGATCCCCTGCCTGGGAAACCCCGGGAGGGTTTGGTCCCTCTCCTCCAGGTCTCCGTCTCCTGTGGGTTAGAGATGCCATCATCCACAAAGAGCCTTCACAGGACACACTTTAACCACAATCAGTAAGTTCTGAACAGAGATACACTTTGGGTTTTATAAGTCAGAGAAGGAACAAGGGCAGAGAAAAAGGGTCTTAATTCATCCAGAATATCAATTACATTGGTGAGTTCAGACTGGCTGAACCTGGGCTTGTATGGCAACACACACAGTATCTTCACTGGCCCTGGGAAATGCCTTCTGCCCAGTTTAGGTCTTCCCACCTCCCTGTCTGGGCAGTAAAACCCTTCAAAGGTACATACCCTTCCAACATCAGCCATCAACCTTCAATTCTTGTGCTTAAAAGCCTTTGGGAAGTTAAGACCAAATCATCCAGACTTCCCCAAGAAGGTATTCTTCACTAAAGGAAAGTGGGATACAACTGCTACTCTAGACATACCAAAGGTCACAATTAACAGAAACTCATTAGGTGTTCAATTAAAACATCTGGACATAGGGGACTTTAATAATATCACATGTGTAAACTGGAGTCGGAGCTTTACCTTCTCGATCAACGGCTTCCTCACCCTCCAGCTTCAGGAAAACATCTTCCAGGGTTGTCCTGGTGACCTCATAATTGACAACCCCCTGCAAAAGGCTGCTCTCGAGGTGGCTGAACAGATCTGCACAGCAGGAACAACCAGACTCAGCCCAGTGGCCAAGGCTGGTGCCGAGCACAAACTCAGACAGGTATAATTAAATATGGATGTTCCAGCATTCACATCATTAATCTCCATAACTTAAAAACCATCACAGAATTATCGTACTCTTTAGAGGTAAGTAGAGGGAAATTCAGAGTTTTTGATTAACATGGGCCATCCTGAAAACAGAGGAGACTCAGTGGATTTTAGTTTGGAGATTAGTTGGTGGATTTTCTTTTGTTCATCTGCACTATTAATATTAACATGTGCACTGGGGTCTTTCTGTAACACTGATGTTTATGCAGCTCCCCAGTCCCACACAGTACAGACCAAGGGAATAGAGTTACTCTCTTCACAGCAACTTTGCTTTCTGCTTTTCCCACCACTTGGTTTCCCTTTGAAACCCTGGCATAGTGACAGGTTTCCTTACCTGGGAAGCTGTCAGTGTTTTCCAGGGGCAGCATGTAACACAGCTCATCCCTCTTCTTCCCTTTGAGCACAGCATCAGGGATGTACTGTCTGACCAGGGATGAGATCAGTTCTGGGTCACACAGGTCATTTATGTGCATCCTGTTTGTGTTAAAAAACCATTGTTATAATGTTAAATGAGGGAGGAAAAAAAAAAATGTGTGTGTCATCTGCTTCAAATCCAAAGCCAGGGAAACCTTCAGAACTGGGCAGCATTTCAGTGGGAATTTTTATAGCTGTCTGCAGTGCCCCTGGTTTTACCATGAATGCAAAAAACAGCTGAGGTTGGGAATAGTGATCCTGGCCAGTACTGCTAAAGCAAGAACACAGAAATTAGGATCCAAAGGAAAACAATTTCACGTTAAAGTTGTTGCACCTCACTCTGGTCCCCTTTCAGCTGCAAAGGAGGTTGCAAGGTCGTTTTAGCTACCTGCTTAGGGCTTTCAGGATTGGGTTCCAAACAAAAGCAGCTTGCTGTCCAATGCAGGGTATTTTTGGCACCCTCAAAAGTCTTTTAAAATGGATAGTTGAGATTCTTATTGCTCTGTATAGAAACTGTGCAGAAACACAGACTCTACAGGAAAACACTCATGAGAACTAGAAGTTGTTGTGTTTTTTATTTTTTTCTTTCCAGAAAGAGTAATGACTGAAAGAAAAGTATTTACCTTAAGTGGTAGCCAATTCCCCATTTTCTCTTCAAGTACAGGGATGAGCCAACACTCTGTAATCTCCCTTTAGAGAGGAAAGCTTTCCGATCTGAGGAGGTATGAAAACAAAGGATTTAGGGGGATTTACAAGAGTGCAGTAGACTGACCTCACCCTGCTCCTTCTGAGCTCAACAGACATGTTAATAACACACTGAGAGGAGTAAAACCAGGCCAGTGCTGAAGGTCTTTTTTCTTTTTAAACCACTGCCTTTCTCCTAAATGTCAAGGTCACCCTTTTAATTATCAGTTCTTCTGGGCTCGTGGAGAATTTCCCACGCAGCACGGGAATAATCAGGAAACAGGAAAGACATTAATTCAAACAGTAGCACTGATGTCTGTGGGTGCTGTTAGTGACATATCCAGACAACATGGAAGTGCTTTATCCTGAGGAAGAGCACAGGCAAGGTCTTGGAGGGACACATCAAAGCCACAAAGTGCAAATCTGTGCTCACCAGCGTGAACATCAGCCTCCTCCATGGACTGGGTGGTGAAGAGCGTGACGTGTCCAGCCCGGCGCTCCTTCAGGAGTCTCCACACGTGGTGCCTGGAGCAGGGATCCAGCCCAGCCGTTGGCTCGTCCAAAAGCAACACCTGCAAAGGCCAACCTGATCAGAACCCTGTTCCCATGGCTCAGTTCCATGTTGACATCACCTCGTTTCATTCTTCTGGTGATCTCACTCAGAGAATGAAATGCATCCTCAAATATCAGCCATTTTTACTGCTCTTTCTCCTGTTACAATATTACCACTCTTTAATTAAAAATGTGGTTCTCACTGAACTAGATACCTCCATCCTTCCTGGTAGGTCAGTAGCCTTGGAATGCAAGGGAAAAATTACAGCTGTCTCTGTGCCAGGTCAAAATGCAAAGCTGTGTGGTAAAACAGTACACACTGCGTGTGTATAAATCAGGTCCCTACCTGGGGGTTCCCTAAAATTGCAATTCCAAGAGACAACTTTCTTTTTTGGCTCCCACTCAGAGCATCAGCATAAACATTCTGAAGGTCGGTGAGGTCCAACATCACGAGGACTTTCTGCACCTTGGTGAGACACGAAGACAAGAGTCAGATTTCCAAAGCACTTTTTAGATTCATAAAGAGCTACCCACAGTACAGGAGAGCACAGCTTCCAACTTATCAACTTTAAATGGCTTTGTTCTCAGAGTTAAATACTGCAAATCCAAGTTCTAACTCACAACATGAGGATAAGGAAGAACTGAAAAAGCACTTCACCCCTAAAATAGGGTTGTTCTCATTTCCACAGAACCAGATGCTGGTGATGATCTTTCATAAATAAAGCCCAAACTGCCCAAGATGCCATAAAAGAGGAGTCAGTGGCTGGCAAGCACATACCAACCTCTTGCTCTACTTCCTTCCGCTCAATCCCCTTGGTGTGGGCAAAAGTTTCCAGGTTTTCCTTCACTGTCAAGGCTTCAAAATGCAAATTAAGTTGGGGGCAAACCCCAACCATCGCCTGAATTCCTTCCCTGTCCAGTATTTCAGAAACGTTGTAGTTGTATATCATTGCAGAACCTGCACAGGGGGATGAAGGAAACAAATTTCATCCTGTTTCCCAGTTATAAGGAGAAAACAGAGTGGTTTGTGTTCATACCTTTGACAATAATCTCAGCACCGTGGGTGTTTCTCAAGTGATAAAATAAAAACTAAAAATATTTTAAAAAAAGCAAAACAACTGTGCTGTCCAAAGCTTTAATACCCCTCAAAAGTATTTCAGAGCACCAGATCTCTCCCTTGAGAATAAAAACATATTTCCCACAGGTGTTTTTCCTTTGAAAACATCAGGCCATCCAGATGGAGAAACAACCTCCTTACACATGTGAGCGTATCCATAAAGGGCACATCATCCCTGGAGCTCATGTGGAAGGAGAAATTTGCACTGGAACAACCCAGCATGAGGGAAAATTGGTTTGGTTTTGGTTTTTTGCATAATTCCCCCTTCCACTTGAAAAAACCAAACAGTTCCTTGTCTTGAGCATTCAGGTCCATGATCTTACCTTCAGAAGGCTTGGAAAATCCACTAAGCACATTTAAAAGAGCAGTTTTCCCAGCCCCACTGTGGCCAAGCAATGCAGTGATCTGGCCTTCATATATTTAAGGACAAACCTGGAAGAGAAATAGAAGATTAGGATGGAAGGTTGTGAGAAGTTTGTGGAACTTGTTCCCAGAGCTTGTTGCCACGAGTGAAGGAGTGACTTTTCTTTTGAAGCTGAGGGGCAAAACCACAGATCCAAAAAGCACAGGTTGGTTCTTCAAAAGCTGGGACTGAGCCTTGCAAGGAACCTCCTGTCAAGTCTTAACTGAATTGAGGGAACAAGTGTAGTAACCTCAACACGGGAGATTTCAAGAGTGACTTCAAAGCAGCCAGACTTTGCCACCTCATTTTCTTTAAAACAAACAAACAAACAAACTTGATTTGTCTTTCTGTGGGTTGTTTGTGTTGGGTTCTGTTGGGTTTTTTACTCAATATAGACATTTGGGGACCGTATTGATATTTTTCATATTTTTCATATTTTTCTCTTTTTATATTTTCACTTGGAGTTCCTGTTGAACAAAGGCATTTAACAAATACCCCACAACTATGCTGTGACCATGTCAACTATTTGCATTGGCAAGTACTTGGAGAGCTCAGCTCAGGCAGAGACAGCAGATTTGGCTACAACCAGGGACCAAAAAACCCCAAGTTTTGTTTTTCCAAAATAGCTTACATTTTGAAAGGGAGGTTTGAGAGGGGATTTTTAGAGTGGTGGAAAAAACACACAGCTTTTAAGGAGATTTTTGCTGTTGCAAAAAGTAATAAGCAGTGATTTTCCTGGAGGGAAAAGGGAGATAACAAACAAGCTGGTAGAAATTTGCCAGTAATTTACCCTAGCAGAAATAACCATTGCACAATGTAATTCAACTGTACCAGAGGCAGAATTCAGTACATCCAGTACATTTCAAAACACTTTGAGTTCTTACCTAGTGAAAAATGAATAAAAAAGAATTACAGAATCTCTTCTTACCCTTTAAAGCTTCGGTGCTCTTGCCCTTCTTCTCATATATCTTTTTAATGTTGTTTAGTCTAAAGGAAAGGTAAGGAGGCCATTACAATAGAATCTCACAATTTGGGCATGTTCCCTCAAAATAACCCTTGAAACCTATTAGAAGAGTATTTCCCAACCTCCTCCCCAAGCTGGCCCTGCTCATTCTGAAGGAATCACTTCATGCAATTCATTTCTTGTACCTCTAAAGCAGAATTAGTAACTGTACTTTTTTAAAGGCTGTTTAAAAGGTTTCCAAGCCCAACTCGAGGAACACTCAGTGAACGAAGCATGAGGGCCCAGGGAATGAGATAACATGTGGTTATCTAATTAAAAGTGATGACTTAGCTATTAATTCAGCAGATTTGTGTTTGTTTTCTGGTAACAAGCAACAGGCAGCATCAGCAAAAAAGCCCAAGTAGCCCTGGAAGGATGTGCACAGAAGTATTTTATTCACCACATTCCATCAACTTTGTGCTTAAAGATCACAGAATATGCTGAGTTGGAAGGGACCCACAAGGATCATCAAATCCAACCCAGCCCTGCACAGGATGATGGTGAAGGGGAACAGAGTCACTGCTGATGCTCTGCAGAGAGGAAAGTGTAGGGCAGCGAGTTTGGCCCTGGCTTGGAGGATTCACCACGTCCAGTAAATGTTCAAATCCAGCTCTGGAGCAGAATGAAACCCTGAACAAGCCCTCCCTTTCACACATTTACCATTAACCTGATCTCTCTATATAACATGGCTCAGTCTAACATTCACCAGTGCAGCGTGACTGTGCTCTCTAGAGTCAACTATTGCATGTAGAGGTGTATTTTCCATGCCTACAGGAGTCCTCACCTGATTGCTTCCTTCCCATGGAAGCCCGGGGGCATCGGCTCGGTGTTGCCGCTGAGAACGGGGTCGTGGCTGCTCTCACTGCCAGCTCTCACCCCCACGTACCCACTGCTGGGCTTGAACCAGTAGGAGGGCCTCAGGAAGAAGGCAGGAGGATGTGGCACCCCATACTTGCCTAATTCAGAGACAGAGAAGGCGAAATATCAGCCCCAAACTGTCCAGCCGTCTCTTCCTCGACAGCTGCAGGATTCAGACTCTCAGAAGAGTAAAATAATTGATAAATTCTGCTATTTAAGTTGTCCACTCATTTGTGTCTGTAAATGCAGGTGGAGAATAATCACAGCAAAGACTCCACTTGCAAACTCTTTGGTCCAAAAATACCAGCTCAAGTCCTGCAACATCCTTCCAAACCCAGTGGTCAGGGCTGTGGGAGTAGGATCTCACTGCGAGGTTTAAGCCTGTTTTTGAGGCAGGGTCAAACAAAGCAGTTCCACCCACCCAGATTCTGGGCAAACAGGACTCTTCCCAACCATTTACTTCCTGAGAAATGCAGTAAATCCCATTTTCATCCCCTGATATGACACCTGTCAAGGCTGTTAAGGTGCCCTTCCACAACCTGACCAGCACGCTACCAGGACACCTTTTTCGTTGCTCCCCGTGGGTTACAGTCTTCTCTCACACCTACCACCCCTTTGGGGGTAGTTTCCCCCTAACAAGGGGAGAGAATTACAGAAGAAAATGCAAGGAAATTTGCATTTTTGCATTTTTCCCCCCCTCTCATGTTTCCACTCACCAGGAAAAACCTTATCAAAGTAGATGGCCAGTAGGAAATACAAGACACTGTCAAGGCTCAGTGTGAGGTAGAGGTTGTAGAAAGGGTACAGTTCGGGGTTAGCTGCTGGTCCATGTTTTTCTAATTTTACCATCTAGGGGGAAAAAAAACCAAAAACAACAAACAAGCACAAGTTAGAAGTGTCAGATATGACAGTTCCTCCAGGCAGAAATTCTGCGTGCAACCTCCTGCTGCGTCATCACAACCACTTTCACTGAAAAGCCGAGCCCGCTCACGGTCACGACGCTGTTTCCAAGGAGGCAAGGGCTTTGTTGTGACCACAAGCACCAGAAATGCTTCAGTAAGCTGAATTCAGAGCTGTGGAGAAGTTACTACACCAGCAGAGTGACGCACGCAGTGTTGGGTGCCCACCACACACATCCCACCGCTGCAGTGACGTGCAGAGGTTTCAGTACACTGCATATACAGAGGCAGCAAAATGCACAGAGCAGTTGAGTGTCCAGCAATCTTTGTTACAGATTAGGATGGACTTTTTGGAGTCAGATTTCCCAAGGATTTAGGGCAGAGGGATTGCTGTGGGCTGAACTTGCATGGTGCAATGGTTTTCTTCTGGACCTACCGTTGCCAGGCCGGAGGTGAAGGCAAAAGGACTGAAGAGACTCAAAATCCATCCTGCGGACGGTGGCAAAAAGTCAAACAGCGTCAAAAAGCCCACTGAGCCAAAGAGGATGTGAAGGAGAAATCCCACAAAACTGGCAATATTTGGCTGCTTTAACAACGAGCTGATCATGAAAGTGAAGTGAATCTGCAGCAGAGAAAACCAGGAGTTAGCAGGGTGCATTTCTGCTGGCAATTAAAAAAAACCCACAATGTGAAAATAGGAGTAAAATTATAGACCCAGCTGAGTTTCAGTCGTCCCCTACAGATGCACATGGCACATCACAAGATTTGCATCATTTAGCAGACAGTTCTGAGAGTTAAGGCAGGTTTATAAGGACAGACAAACCACTCCCAGCCTGGTGTTTACACCTCTTTTTACTCTGATTTCAAGTCAGAATCTCTCAAAATGTAATGGGAGTGATATGTTTAGATGTTATATTAAAATATAGATAAAACATAAATTTTTAGGCATACAAAATATAGAATATGTTGATATATACAGAGATATAAATTATAACAATAAATTCCAGTAGTGAGAAGTTTTTGTTAGTTTCTCACAGGAAACCAGAAAAAAAAGTTGCATAATTTAAGAAGACAAAAGCAGACTTACAGAGGCCGTGCCATAAAAGAAATAAAAAAAATACAGCTCTAAAAAGCTCTGATGGTTCAAAGCGTCTGTCAGTGTGATCAGTGCCAGCGGAATGGCTGATACTGAGACGTACACAGTGTACAGCAAACTCCAGGACAACCTGCAAAGGAAGGCACAGTTATTTTTGGCCCTGAAATGACACACTCTTTAATTCAAACACTTCACAATTTCAGTACATTTGCAGTTTCCAGAGTGGAAGTGCACATCCTACACATGTTAGATAATGCAAGCCCTGTAATCACACAGTTAATTTCTGCCAGACTTACCAGAAGGCAACATCCTGCAAACCCATTGCTCCCATCAGTACCTTGAGCTTCTTCTCCCTCAGAACTCTCACTGATAAAAAGTACATGAATGGGGAGTAGCACAGTATGGCACAAAAAATGAACACGACATAATCCAGTCTGAACACAGGTTTCAGCAGGGGTGATTTCAGATGAACCCCAGAAATGGACTTCATTTCTTTCCACACAGAATGGTTGGTCTTCATCTAAAGAAAAGAAACTAGGCATTAATTTCATTTCTGTAATGAAAGAGGCAACATCAGAACAAACAGGTTTTTAAAAGCATGAAAACTATTAGTTTTTCAATATGATTATAAGGGGCAAATAACAAATATTTAGTATCTTTTTGTACTGCCTTGTAAAAAACACTAACCCTCCCTTGAGCCTTGAGAATGATCTGCCATTCTCTGAATTTTTGAGTCATACCATGTATTAAAGAAGCTAATGATCACAGAAAATCACAGGATCATAGAATCCCAGAATGGTTGGGGTTGGAAGGGACCTGAAAGCTCATCTCATTCCAGTCCCATGCCATGGGCAGGGACACCTTCCACTAGACCAGGGTGCTCCAAGCTCCATCCAACCTGGCCTTGGACACTTCCAGGGATGAGGAAAATGAACTGGTTTGGTGGGGAGGTTTTTGTGAGGGGGGTTGCTGTTTGCTTTTGGTTTTTGCTGTTTGTTTTTTGTCTGTTTGTTTGTTTGGTTGTTTGTTTGTTTTTGTTTTTGTTTTTTAAAGTTTACAGATAACTCTGCAAAGAACAGAAAACATGTTTTCCATAGTGATCACTTACTTCTATGAGTGCTGCATCAATGCTGGACTGCACTGAGAGGAAACCCCCGTACCAGTACAAAGGAACTTTGCAGTAATTTTCTGAATAATCCCAGCAAGATTCTGTGGGGAAAGAAATTAAAAAAAAAAAAAATAATTATTACTTTTCCGTATGTATGTGTGTATAAATACTTATGTATAACGGGTGAGGTTGAAAATGTCTTTTACCCAAGAGTCAGGAAATCAAGATCTAGTTTTACTCAGCCTTTTATGTTTGAATGTGAAGAGAGGTTGGGAGAGTTGGGGTTGTTCAGCCTGGAGAAGAGAAGGTTGTGTGTCTGAAGGGGCTACAGGGAATCCAGAGAGGGACTGTTCATCAGGAACTGGAGTGACAGGACAATGGGGATTGAGTTCTAACTGGAAGAGGGGAAATTTAGGTGAGGTGTTGGGAAGAAATTCTTCCCTGTGAGGTTGGTCAGACCCTGGCACAGGTTGCCCAGAGGAGCTGTGGCTGCCCCCGGATCCCTGGAAGTGTCCAAGGCCAGGTTGGACGGGACAAGGTTCGAATTGGACAACTTTTGAGCTCCCTTCAACCCAAACCATTCCATGATTCTTTGACTGTGGATAATGTTTAGTTATTCTTAAAGCTTTTTTTCTCTGACACTTGTTTCCTTTCACAAAAACAGACTCTCAAATTTTAATTAACATCTTTCTGGAGTCGTTTAGCCCTGCAGGTTCCATCCCTTTGGAGTGGCACAGCAGCACAGAGATCCCACCAAACAGCTTTTAATGTAAGATCAGATTCTGTGGTTTCATTTGGCTTGTTACCGATGTGGTCAAAGACATCATTTGGAAACATAGTTTTGCTGAGTTGAAATCTGAGGCTGTAGGAGAAGTCATCCTTAAAAACAACACCAATAACTTCATCCTCCAAAATTCCTTTTGCTTCCATTTTTTCCTCATTTTCCGTCTCTTCTATTATTATGCCTGTCATTAAAATAAATAAATAATATTTAAAAAAATAAATAAACCAGCTAAAACTCTGATTAGTCAGGCAACAACACAAAAACGGGCATCACTACAATTTGGACCCTCAAAAAATCAGGTTGGCCCAAGGTTTTTCCTCCCACCCCCCATGGCTGGTTCAGACACAGCAGATGGAACAAGGATTTAAGAGCAGCATTTACCCCTGAGCACCGAATCCGAGGCCACCCTGCCCATTATCCTCCTGGTGCTGCTGGTCACAGGTGTGTACATGAGCGTCAGTCCCGTAGCGTTAAGGGCTGGGTCGTCCAGCCTCCCCAGGGATTTGTAGGGGAACTCTGTCCTGGGGTAGTACCAGATCATATCCGCCGCCTCCCGCAGCGTGAAGAGGAAAACCGCCGTGGTCACCCACTCCTGCAGGGAAGGAAGGAAACGCAGAGGTTGAGCTGCAGCCCAAGGATTGGGAAGGCTCTTCCAGGCCCCTCCTCAGCCCAGCTCCTCCGACTGGGAGCGAGGGAGAGCCGTTCCACAGGTGTGGAGAGATCTGAGAACACCAGGAAGGTTTCCAGGGGAAAAGATGTTGTTTTCTTAGCGCCGGAGCCAGGGAGGTCTGCTGGCAGCTTTACACCGCGACCGTGAATCGGACATTGTGTTCCTTTTGTCCGGCGCAGGGTGGGAGCAGCAACCAAAAGCAACAATCCAGCTTGGCCACAGGGCTGTGTTGTGCTGGGGTATTCCAGTGCCACGGGAAGAAGTGCAACTGCTGACATTTCCCAGGGAACCTCTTTACCAGCTGAGGCTTCTCATGTCCCCTTGCATAAAAACAGCGCAGTGCAAAAACACTTTGTAGTGGAAATCCTGATTTCCCTTTGGAAGGACCGGCACTTGCCTGAAAACTTTGAGCCTTCATCCTCCACACCAGAAGAACGTTTTTCCATTGGAGAGCACGGGTTTGTTGAGATAGTTTTGAGGCTTTCTTGAATATCCCCTGCATTTTTCCAGCTGAGATGAGAAAGAGAAGGATATAATTAAGAATCAAACAGGTCACTGGAAGTTAATATATTAACTTGTGTAAAAAGCACTTCAGGGGAAGCCAATAACATGCTAAAGGTTGAGAAGTTGTCTCCATTTTAGAGTTTGGACAACTAAGGTGAAGTTCAAAGGAAATAGCCCAAGATCATGCAAGGGAACAGAGAGCTGGGTCAGACTCAGCTGCCTCTTCCATGTGCAGAGATTCATCCTTTTTCATCTTTGTAGATGAGACAACTGTTCACTTTCTACATTTCACTGCAGAAAGAGCAAATTGTTCTGGTTTCACCCAAATGGTGATGAACTTTGGCTCTAGCATAGCCAGAGCTGGGCAGCTTTAAAACACCCATGTGTTCCTTTATATCCTCCTAAATACTGAGCAGGGAGCATTTATTGGGGGATACTTTTATGAGGTATATTTATTTCAGCTCCAAGTTTAACTCCCTGCACAAGAACAGCAGCGAGTTCAGAGTGACAGCTTTCACCCCTTTCCCAGGAGGAGAGCAGGGGAGGGAACCTCCCAGCATGTTTTTGTATTTTAATCCTTTCAAATGGCCTGAAACCCCAAATCAAAGCAACCTCAAATGCACAGTGCTCTATTCCCCTTGGACATCACTTCCTGATTTCACAGGTTGGGCAGCTGGAGTTAATAAATGGTTCTACTACTCTGTTCCCTTCCCTGCTTGTTTTTGGAAGAATTACATATTTGCCTGCTCGGAGGGCAGTGGATCCAGAATCCCTGTTTACCCTCTGACTGTTATCACAGGGCTTATCTCCTGGTGCTCTCCTTTCTCCTGTGCTTCCCCACCCTGGTCTGCAGTGAAGGTTAAAGGCAAATAGGAAGGGATTTCTAGGAAATGTTACTTCTTTTTGCCCAAGTCTGGATTTCAGGCGCTGTGAACTGAAATCAGGATGTCTGGGCAGTAAACAAAGGCTCATGGAAAACATGATGGTCTTGTAAAAACTGCACTGAATCTCTACAAGCACGACAAGCACTTCATTTAAAAAATGATGGAGTGGATCTAAAACTTTTTAGAAAATTCCAACTAAGTTTCCACCAGTTTTAATTTATTTTTTTCCTGTGGAGCAAGAAGCAAATACCACTGGAAGCCAAATATGAAGCCAGGAATTCAAACAAGTGATGCTGCCCAGAAAAGCTGTATGAACATAATCAGGAGGAATTTAACTTTTGATCAGATACCTAATAAATACTAGATGTTATTAACTTTAAATTAGATATTTAATTAAGCCATTAGATAATGACCAAAAGGTAAAGCAAGAGAGAGTCCTCTGCAAGACCTGAGGTACAAAACTTCCTGCTCAGAAGACAAAATAAACCTATCAGGAGTTTATCTGGAAGCAGCAGTGTTTGAGAAGCTCTAAACCAGTTCAGAGCATCCCCTGTAAAACTGGGTGTCTCTGGAAGTGTTTGCCTCCTGAGAGCTCATTAAATACACCCGAACTTCTTGCTCTCCAGGAACACACTGCTCAGGTGTTGCAGTAACTTCCACTGGACCCTGTGCTCTCCCAAAGGTTGTCCCAGAAAGGCACATCCCATATAACCCTTTCCTTTATTCACTGACTTGGGGAATTCCTATTTGGCACCTCCTCAGACTTATTTCCCCCTAATAAAAAATTAAGTTGCTGTGATCTGGTTGAAGGTGTCCCTGCTCATTGCAGGGGGATGGACTAGATGCCCTTTCAAGGTCCCTTCCAACCCAGAATATTCTCTGAGCTGATGATTCTAACTCCTAAAATCTTTGGGAGCACAGTCAGCAGCCTCTCCATGCTGGCTACGAAGGAAGCAATGAACGCTGCATCTCCCGCTTCCCAGAGGAGCCACAGGTTTTCCAGGAGCCAAGGATTAATCCCTGCACATGGGGAGTGCAGAGGTGAATGTGCTCTTTTCTGTACCCTTCTGTTCAGCAGTGATTGCAGTTATTTTGTTTGCATCTGACCCCCTGATAAAGGCAGGACAGATTTGCACTGACTCCACTCTCCAACACACAAAC